CTTTAAAACCTCAAGAATTTTACACTCTAAAATCATAATTGTTAGATTTCATAAAAACTCCAAAAGTTTTCCTCCTATTTCTCTCTCCTTTTTTCTCTCTTTTTCTTCCTTTTTCCACGCCTCTTTCTCCTCTTCTCTTTTCTCACACCGACGCCACCGGCGCCACCACCAACCATCGGCGGCTAGCAGCAGCAGCCGGCGACCACCAGCCGACCACCCGTCCTCTCTCCTCCTTCCCTCTTTTCGGTTTGGTAGTAGTAGTAGTGTATATATATATATATAACTCTTTCTTTCTCCTAATTAAATTCTAGTTATTTTATTAAATTAAAGGCATGATTTTTTTATTATGTTTTTGGTATTGATTTTGAGTATATGATGTTGTTAAATTATTCCTATAATTTTCAGATTTTAATTTAATCAAAAACCCAAATTTACAAACCCTAGAATTTGGGAATTTAATGTTTATGATTAGGGTTTCATCCTAGGTTGTTGTGGTTGTTAAATTGATGATTTAAACATGTTTCTATTGAGTTTTAAGCCCTCAATTAATGCTGAAATTTAATTATACACACTACTTTTTAGTTATTGTGTTAGGGTTTGATTACCCATAAAAGGAAAAAAGGTTTTTAATGATTTAAATATGATTTCCTAGCCTATTAGTGATGTTTTATATTAAATAAGTATGTTCTTCACCCAAAAAAAAAATATTAAATAAGTATGTCGGAATTTTATTTAAGTAATAAAAACTAAGTCTTTTTAAAAGGATTTAAAGTACCCACTTAAAGAAAAGGTTATGGCTTTTATCCCATTAAATTGGGTTAATTAGTAAGGTTTAAAGAGTGTTATAGTTGCTGGAAATTTGTGAGAATAGTGGATTAAGTATAGTTATGTATTCTTATTTGAAGGAAGCTTTGAGCTAGGTGATTTCTAGCGAGTATGCCCGAGTTTAGGCACTATTCAAGGCACGTATGCGCATAAGAATACACTACTAGAAATAGGCCGTTTTCCGAGGGAATCGTTCCGACGTACCTAAATTATGTCAGTAAATCCGAATTTTCCGACGGAATTAGGGTCTGTCAGAACATTCCGTCGGAAACGGTTCGTTACGACGGAAAATCCCTCGGAATCCTTGTGACGAAAATTATTTCCCTCGGAATAATAGGCTTCCGACGGAATATTCCGTCAGAAAGTTAGGTTTCCTACGGAATTTAAATCCGTCGCAATTTTCCTACGGAATATTCCCTTGAAAAACCCAAATATTCCGACGGATTTTTATCCGTCGAAAAATTTCCGACGGAAAAATCCGTCGGAACTTTCTATTATATATAAAAAAAACCGAAAATTCCTTTGGGAACCCTAATCTTCTCCCTTTCCGCCTCTTTTCCCTATCTATCTCCTCTCCTCTCCTCTTCTCCTTTTCTCTCTCCTCCTTCCTCTTCCCTTCCTCTTCTTCTCTGATCTCCTCTCCTCTCCTCGATCTTCTCCCTTTCTCTCTCCTCCTTCCTCTTCTCTTCCTCTTCTTCTCTAATCTCCTCTTCTCTTCTCGATCTTTTCCCTTTCTCTCTCCTCTTTCCTCTTCTCTTCCTCTCTGATCTCCTCTTCTACAACAACAACAATCAACAAAAAGGGGGTCGCAACAACAACAATCAATCACAACATCAATCACAACATCAGCCGCAACAAGCAACATCAATTTGAATGTAATTATAATTGTGTAATTATATAATTTTTTTTATTTTCGTTGTTTAATTTTCGGTTTATGTAATTTTCGGTATTTTTTAAATAAATTGTGTTAATATAATTTTGTTTATTTGGGCTTATTTCGGTTGTTTAATTTCTAATTTTCGTTGTTTAATTTTCGGATTAATTTGCATTTATTTGGGTGAATTTGTTTTTTTTGGATTTTTTGGGTTAATTTGGTTTTATTTGTGGGTGGTGGTGTGGTGGTGGTGGGGTTGGGGTGGTGGGTTACGGGGTGGCGGTGGGGTTAGGGGTGGTGGGTGTATGGGGGGTCTGTGTGGGGTGGGTGGGTGGTGGGCGGTGGTTTGCTGTGTGGGTGGGGTGGTGGGTGTATGGGGTGGGTGGGTGGTGGGTGGTTTGCTGTGTATGGGGGGCCAGGGGGGTCTGTGTGGGGTGGGGGTGGTGGTCCGGGTCTGTGGGGTGGGCTGGTGGCAGGGGTGGGTCTGGGTGGGGCTGGTGTGAGCTTTTTTTTTATTTTTTTTAATTGGATTTTCCGACGGAATTTTCCGTCGGAATATACCACTTCCGAGGGAAAATTCTCTTCTTCCTACGGAAAAGTTTCCGTCGTAAGCTTGCGACGGACTTACGATTTTAGTCAAACTAGGGTCCGACAAGATATAATCCGTCGGAAAACACTATTCCGACTGAATTTCCGACAGAAAAGGCCGTTTTTCCTACAAAAGGGTTTCCGACAACCGGTTCCGACGGAATTTCCGTCGAAAAGGGGTGTTTCCGACGGAATTTTTCCGTCGGAAATGACCTGTTTTCTAGTAGTGATATTTGTGTATGCGTAGTATTATGCTAGGATTGTAGCGTATGTTTCAAGTGATGAATTAGTAGCATGTTTAGTTGATTATATGCTTGGAATTGATGTTGGTGAAGCATGAATTATTATGCAAGCATGTGAATATGTTATTTGAGACATGGTACAAGTTGAATATGTATGAATCATGGAAGTATGTTTTATTTTCAAGTATCAAGAAAACATGAACTTAATAAGGCCTTGTTTAGTTCAACTTATTTTTACTTATTTCAGAAAAAATAAGTTCAGATCAGATCAAAAAAAATAAGTTCATATCAGAACATCGTTTTATGTGCGGTTTTTTATCGCTAAATATTCTTAATTTCGTAATGAAAAAATTGTGAAAAATTACATATTAATAAACTACACATTATTACGAATCTAACAAGATTCCACATGATATATTTTTTCCTTATAGATTATCGTATACTTAAGGTCAAAGTTTGCTCAAATCAGACAATCAGATCAGATCAGTAAAAATAAGTTGAACCAAACAAGGCCTAATTGAGGCTTATGTATGTTGAAAAGAGCTAAAGTTAGAATTATTGAGCATGATTAATGAATTTATTTCTCACCCATATATTATTGGAGTTGAGTCAAGATGTTAGTTTATTTGTTTACTCAGTCATGTAAGTTGAGTTTGAGTCAAGGAAGTTTATTAGTACATCTTATGCACCAAGGTAGTAATCGTGCAATTTTGTGCACAAAACTAGGCAAGGAACCTTAATTAAAATAAACAATATGTGCTCACTAATTAATTCAAGAATGAATTGGAAGTATGTGTTGAATGTTGTTATGTTTGTTCTTGATTGATTGGTTGGAGTCATCACAAGTTAAATTGATAAATCACGTAAAGTGTAAGAGGATACGCACCAAAACTCTTGGAACGTATACACCTTGAGTATGAACACATGGGGGGGGGAGTTATGTGACTTTATATTTGATCATAGCTTCTACAGGGGTACAGGACGTTGTACTGTATTTTATTATTAATGTGCTGAAATTCCGTCACAAGGTGACATAGTAGGTGCCAATTGAGGTAGCTCCCTAATTGGAAGTTCAATATTTAATGGGCTATTTTTAAGGAAGGAAACACGTTTGATGCGTAATCCAAAATTATTATTTGATAATTAATATTGTTAATTATGAGTTAAAGGTAAGTTGACTTTTAATTGTATGGCGAGCATGTTTTAATTGTTTTTATTGATGTTAGAATATTCATGTTAGTGTGGTGTATATGTACTCAGCTTTTGCTGATTCGTACTTTTATGTTTGTGTTTGGCTTTCCTTTGGATTGACCCTACTATGACCCATTATTTATATGGTGAGCTCAGGGGATGAAATACAGAGAAAGTGACAGATACTTGAAGCATGAAGGGAATGATTGCAGAGAGTTACTTAATTTGCTTTCTTAGTTTTATATTTTGAATTATTGGTTTATTGCTTATAGACTAACCTTGTTATGTTTATTTCTAAGTTGGTTTTGAAAGGGCCATGTTTGAATTGGTTCAAACTTGTGAACGATTTATTTTACTTTTGTTTTGAGGTTGTGAACTCAAGTTTTAGTTTGAAAGTTGGTTTTAATTTTTAGTTTTTCGCTGTGTGACTTTGAAAAATAGTCTTAGCCGTTATTACAGTGGCGGTAATATTTTGGTTATTTCCTAAAAAGGGTTTTAATTAGAGTAAAATGAGTATTTTAAAAGAAGGAAATTTCCAGGGTATTACAATGATCACTTTGAAAAGGTTTAATAGGTCTCTCAAATTGAGTTTGCACATATTAACAAAAAATTACGAAAGTTGGAAAAGCTTGGGTTTTTATATGCAAGAGGTATAGTCCACACAATATGAGTTAATCATTGACAAAAACCAAATAATATTTATGACCATTAGAGCTCCGAATAGGAGATGTCCATAAATTGGCATGTATGATATCTAAAGCACAAGTAGTATGACTTGTAGAAGTGTAAAAATGTTGTCTAACGTATTTCCCTAATTAACAAAATTTGTAAAAGGTGGAGGAAAGCTCCTTATTACAATTAATGAAAACTTCATTTTGATAAACTAAAGGTAGTTGTATAAAAAGCTTTACATCTAAATTATTCTTATTTTGCCATACATCGTGACACTATTAACTTTGCACGCATCTTTAATTGATTAACGCAGCTATTATTATTATGAAATTTGAAATACGTGACAAAATCAATAAATCATGTATAGATTGATTAATTTATAATTTTTATAGTCTTTGCATCATTTGTAGATTGATTTTATTAATTTATACAAGCAATTATAATAGTCTTTGCATTAATGTTGATTGATGAAACAAGATCTTAGTTATATTCGTGCATTACACGGGACGTAAACTACCTTACTTGTACTCTATACAATTATACGTATCATAAAAAAAAAAAAAAAACAATCAAAAAATATTCCTGTTATGTTTACATATTTTTTTGTGTTTGTTTTGTTTTATGTTTTTTTTTTACTCTTTGAAGCCTTTTTCACGTTAGCGCTGGATCGCTGCACCCATCCCTCTCTCTCCTCCATTGAAGCGTACTCCGAATCCTCCATTGAAGCGCCTTCCGAGCTTTCTCTCCTCCATTGAAGCAGCTTCTCAGGTAACATGTTTTCTATATTAATCATTGGATTTCATTTTCACAATCTAGTTTGAATCGTCAATGTAATTGTCATTACTAGTTAATTTAGGGTTCTTCTAAGGCAGATTATTGAACTATTAGTTATAATTACTGATTTACTTAAGTTATTATGAATGTTTATTACAACGATCGATTTTGTTGCTAAGGAATTTGCAGTTCATTTTCTTAAGCGAGAAGAATTTAACGTGATTTATGTTGCAAATCGTTTTTCATTCAATAACATGTATGATGAAATGTAAATGTATGTTAATTTTCTCAATTGTTTGATTTTAATGTTCAACGATAATGTGATTGATGGGTTAGAAAAGGAAACTACTGGATTCATTGGTGAAAACCTTGGATTTTTGATGGATATAGATTAGTTTTTGCTGTTAGGGTTTCTCTCAGTAAATTCTCTTTTTAATCTAGTATTATACTTCATATCCCTTGTTTCGTTTTAGCAAACTTATAGTGATTTCCTAGTACTGGGGTTGACTAATTCGTATACGAAATATAAGTTATCATTGAACTGAGGATTTGATAAGATTGGGTGTGTAAAAAAATGTGTGTAAAGAGATATGTTTTGGAATCTGAGCAATGGCAATCTTAACATTAGGTTGTAATTTTGAATTCAATTACTTATTATTGATATTTTTAATAATTTTGTTTTTTCTCCACCCGTCTGAACATTGTGGATACGCCTTTGGCATTTTTCTTTCAGGTAGCAAAGACTGATTGGATCTTCAAATGTATAAATTTTGTACATGATGTGATAGAATGCCAATAGCATCCATTTGATTACTTTGGTTGACTTGTGAGAGTGATAACATTTCAAAGCTTCTGATTCTTCCATGGAACCTTTCTTGAAATCCAGTGGTATTCCAGAGGCATGGCATATCATTGTAGCAATATATTTCGCTGTTTTCTTCGTTGGTGCAAGATTCTTCTTTGACAAATTCATTTTCCGTGTAATTATCTCTCAGTTTCCTTTCTATTATTCCATTGAATGTACCTCTGCATTTTTTTCTTATAATGTTACTTGATTGCTTTCTTTCTTAGTACTAATTTTAAGATGGGTGATGCATTTTCTCTTATAATTTTTTATATGTAACTCAATAATTTCAGTATCTTATTTGTTAAGTGCAATAGTGTTATGTCTGTAGGAATGGAATTAAACATCTGACGAATATGTGTATTGCTCTGTAATTGTTTGCTTTGACTTAGAATGAGCTGGAATGTTGTGCTTTGACTTAAAAATGTCCTTGTAATATCAGCAGTTGTCTATATTACCACTCAGAGGTGTGACTTATCTCAATGAGGTTACATGATTTTCATAATGAAGGCCTGTTAGGAGATGTTGGAGTCTCCAACATGCTTGTATTTTAGGAGATGTGGTGCAGATCCTTTTTAGCCATAGAAATCCATTAGAAAATTTTCTTATACCAAATTGACTATCAACTGAATGGTTGTGTTTTGATGTTTGGTTACCTATTATTCCATGTTTTTATTTATACAACTTTCTAATATAAATTGCGTAGGATGTACTTAGATAACCGAGTCTACCACCTCAATAGGGACCTAAGATAACAGGTATATATTCTCGATAGTCTGTGGTACATATGAGATGTTTATGGTTGTAGATATGGTATCAACTAGGAAGAGACCTAGGCTGCTAGGCATATGTAATTATTACTGTATGAGTTACGAGTTGTCTTTGACCAGCTTGAAGTATGTAGCATATAGCAGTTTTTGCGGTAGAAGCCATGTCTTGTAATGAATTAATGATAGTTTGATCGTTTCTCTTCAGTACATAGTATAAGAGAGTACAGGTGGTAAAATTTTATTGAGTACAAATGAACGAAAAAAGATGATGGGTTTTTTTCATTTATTGTTTTTCATAATTGGGGACCATAATGTTTTTAAGAAGTATCAGGATAAGACGAAAGGATTTACATTAAGTGGACTCATCCCAACGGAGTAATGAGAAGTATTTTGTGGGACAAAGATTTAACAAAAGAAAGAGAACACGAGAGTAGAGAAAACTTTGTATAAATTGTATTACATCTCTTAGATATGTGTTAATTACTTTGGCCATGTCTGACATTTTTACTTATTGAATGAGATTCAATCCTCAAATTTGATTTCCATTGGCCCACCCATTCCAGATTTCTAAACAATACATGAGGAAATTCTTTTCACATAACAGCAAGGAAAAACTTTGTTTGATTTTAACAATAAAAAAAATGGTTTGATTGGTTGCGTAGAATTAACAGATGTAAAAGTTAAATGGAATGATAAAAAAAATCTAAAGCTTCCTTCTGTGGTGTAAAATACCTCAATCTTCATTTTCTCAGCCTAAATAAGAATCTTCAAGCTATTTGATTCATGTCGTCTTAATATCTTTGACTATTCTGGGATTGCAATGATAGGTATTCCAATTCAACTAAAGAGTGTTTGACATCATTTTTTAATTTTTTTAATTTATTTATTTTAGAGGCTATCCATATGGTTATTGAGTTTGAGTAAGAAAGCTGCTCCATTGAAGTTTGACGAGGCTACCAAAGCAAAAATCGCAAAGTGCTCTGAGTCATTATGGAAGCTGACTTACTATGCCACAATGGAGGCATCAATTCTTTGCATTATCTTTTATGAACCATGGTTCAGAGATTCGAAGGAGTATTTCAAAGAATGGCCGAATCAAGAGCTTAAGTGAGTCTATACTTTTTATTGAGTAGTAACCTCTATATCTGCTTTGACATACTTGCATTTAAAAGTTGTATAATAAGTGGATAATGTCTTCTTTACGTTTTTATATTATTTCTTTTCACATTACTAAGACAAATTCATGAAAGCTACTAGTGTATTATGATTGTGAATATGTGATATCTAGGATTTAATCTCTTTTTTTCTCCATCTTTTGAGATAAGGCGACACAATGTATTTATCGCTCATGATATAAGCTTTGACAATTTGAGGAGGAGAGGGCATATTTGTTGTGTGTATTTCTTTTCCAGTTATATTAGTGGAGTAGTTGAAAAGACTTGTTTTCATAGTGGCAATATCATTTTGGATTGAATAATAGGTAGAACACATGTATTCTTGTTGCACAGGATCGAGACTCTGAGCTTGCTAACTATGCCTTGAGAAATTTATTCTATTCTGAAGTGGCTGCCGTGTCCATTACTGGGTAAAATTTCCTTATTAATGCTTAAAGTTACATAGTTATGTTATACAGATTAGTGTTGAAATATTTCCTGAGTATTCTACAGTTTTGGTATCCTACTAGGCTACTACATTTGTCCATTTAGTGGGGAAATAGTTTTTGGAAAAAGGGACCCCTACTCAGTTACCTGACCCACATCCGAGCAGAACCTGAAGCTGCATTAACCTAACCAAAGATGATCCAAAAAATAATATGCCTAATATTGATTTATTTATCATAATAAGCTAATTGTCGATAAACTTGAATATGATCTGCTCCGAACGCCTAAGCCCATCCGAACTAAAATGAATAATTCATCAGCTGAAAATTACTGATCAAATCCAATCATAACAACTAGATTCTCACCACTACCAGCAACAAGTGTCTTTTGTTGGGATGTTGGCAATTACTTTATGAGGCATTTTTGTCCTAAAAAGTTCAATATTCATGAACAATAAAATTTGCTCCTATGATACTGCATTTTACTGAACAATACTCCATTGTAGATTGAATTTTGGCCCATCTCTTGTGATACAATTCTTTTTGTTCAGGGTGACATATTGTCTATATGATATACTTTCTTAAAACCTTAAGGAAAGAGAATCAGTATTTTGGGGTTATTCATTTGCAGCATCGTTAAAATGCTTGAAATTTGATTGATGCCTGTATGTGTTGGCTTGCACTTTTATAAGGGCATGCTTTGACATGAGGGTTTGATTGCATAGCTAGATCAAGCTGCTCTAGGCTTTGGGGTCTTTGTGTGATTCTTAATTATCATTTTGATGCAACTCACATGATATATCTCACTCTTTCAAATCTGGTTGGCTCACTTGGTTTTTTTGTTTGCTCCAGAATTTCTTTGAAACTATTCTATATGTGCCAATGTGGGTTCTACATCTATAGCATTGCTGCCCTTCTTACATGGGAAACTCGAAGGAAGGATTTTGCAGTAATGATGTCTCATCATATAATCACTGTTCTTCTTATAAGCTGCTCATATATGACAAGGTATTGACTCAAATATTTTTCACTAATTTTGTTTGATGCTACGTTATATGTAGATGTATCCGTTTTTACTGATGTGATGGTTCAATGATAGCTTATTTGAGAAACATAATATTTATTTGGAGAATCATTTCTAATAATGCAGTTCTGCACATCCTTGTACTTATCTTTTTTTGGAAAGATTCAGGAATGCAAAATTACTTAGAAAAAAAATCCTGGAAAAGGAAGTTACTTGATCTCGTTGATTGTCTTTAACGTGAGGATAGTTTTTGTTAAATATGTGTCCATGCAAGTGTCACTGGATTTTGCGTCTCAATTTGGCATTACAATTCTCTCAATTTTTCTCTCTATCTGTGTGTGTGTGTGTGTGAGAGAGAGAGAGAGAGAGAGAGAGAGAGAGATAGATTGGAGGGAGTGCTCGTTTATTTTATGTGTTATTAATTTATTATCCAAGAACTTTGTTAAAGGGGCTTTGAAAACAAAATAGTTGATTAGAGTGGTTACTAAATTTTTTGCAATGAGGATTGCGAATTGATATTAAGTCATCTTCTGGTGTGTAGGAAGGGCTTTTAGGCACAACTGTGCTACTGAAGAGGATTTTGGGGGTGATTAAGTTTTAACTAGATTTTAGGAATTGGCATTGATTATTTGAAGTGAAGACGTGTTGATAGGTTGCTATTTTTGGTTTTCGTGTGATTTATACTAGTCCATAAAGACCCCCCCCCCTTTCAATTTAGGTTTAGGTAAAAGCCCCGTTAGAGTATTTTGGCCTTCAACCCTCTCGGGCCTGATTTTACCTTTTTTTTTTGGGGTGGATTGGTTTCCATGCCTTTTTGGGATAGGTGATGGTTTATTCTTGAAGTTGCCTCTTATGCCTTTTCTTCCACAACCAAGTCTTGGAAGGCATTGGGAAGATAAAATATTGATTAGATTGTTTTCTGGTGCTCAGGATTGAGGACGGTTTGGAATCATTTTTCTGGTATGCAGGAAGGGTGATGGCATAAGTTTAATGGTGACTTTATGACAATAACATTGTTTTGAAGGTTTAGGTTTGTTAGGAAATTAATGTTCTGGATTCCCTCTTTTGATCGAATTTCTTTTGGCACTTTGTGATTTAAGATAAAAACATATTACTAGGATAATCCTTTGGGGGAGGTTAGTTTATGTTTAAGCCACCTAGAGAACTAGAGCTTCAACTATGTCTTTTGCATTTGTCCTGTGCTTGCATCACATGATTGGGCATCTCTTGGTATCAAGCCTATTCTTGGCACACTTAATCTAGCTCTATTATGTCTTTGGTGATAGTGTGGTTCATGACCATGTCAATTGAAGTTTCCCCTCCGCCACCAAATGAGAGATATTATTGTTCAAGGGCTGGTTTGTATGTTTAGGTGGAGATATTTGGGTCTTCAGTAACCAAAGGCAGGCTCTGTGCCTCTGTGGTGTTACTAGTGCCTTGCTCTATACAAGCTCTAATAGCTTTCAGTTGTTGATATGTGATCAGCAAGCATTTAATACTCTTCACTTCTAGTCTGTTTTCCTCCGTATTGCACACGCCATTATTTTAATTTTACCTTCTCTCTAGGATTCTCTTTTTATTGTTTGACTTCCTGCAACTACTAAGTTGCTTATGTTGCAATCTGAGGTGGACCATAGTGGATAAGGATGATGAAGTAAAATTGCAAAAGGGGCTTTGAAAAGGCGAGAATGTGCAAGGAAATCTTGTACCTGCCATGTGCTGTAGTGACGTGCCTTTTCTTATTTTTGTGGATAGGTACTTTGGGGGTCTGATCATTGCTATAGTACTTGTATTTTTTAACATTTAAGGTTATTACCTAACAAAGGGAAGAAAAGTGTTTGATTCAATGTTGATGTATACAACAGGTTGTCTTAGCTCAAGCACTTGGGTTGGTAAGATATAATCTAGAACGAGGGGAAGATCATAGGGGAAAACTTAGAGGCTATCAGTTATTATCTTCAATATTGTATGGTTCTTTTGAGCTGTCATCCTATTCTTTTCTTGAAATCGATCCAATAATATCTCTGGGAAAAATGCACATGGACTGGGAATGGTTTCCACTGGGTATTGTGCCATTACATAGACAAAGAAAGGAACATCATTTTATAGTTAATTGTTGCATTAGAATTGTTGATTTGTTGGTATAGCATTATACGCTTCAGTTACTGTAGGTTAGCTTGAGTAAAAGGCACATATTTGATATGCATACCTTAGATTGTGGTTAAAGAAATCTTAAAAGGATCTGATGGTACAGCTTATACCATTAATGTTGACCTTCCTTGTTAGGTGCCTATATCTTAAGATGCCCCACAACTAATACTCAGTGTTACCATGTGAAACACATGATACCTAGTTTTGGGAGGAGTGGATGGTAATGGGTCTTGGATCCGGGTCTTAGTTTTGGGATCTTACAAAGAATACTCAGTGTGATCATATGAAACACATGAATCCAAGTCTCAAGGTGGTGCCACCAATGCTCCAGTTAGTACCTGAAGGAGTTTGTAGTTGAGTAATGTGTAGGGGGGTAGAGAGAATCTGAGATTTTTTACCTTGGTTCTTAGGGTATTAGGGTAAGTGAAGCTGATGGGCCTTGACCATTAGGCTTGTACTCTTGTGGACCCTAAATGGAACGGGTCAATGACAGTAACTATGTGAGGGAGTTAATGAGACAATAACACCCGAGCACTGATCTTGGAGTCATCTATATTGATTCTGTTGCCTGTCATCAGTCTCACCAGGAGTATATCTGATATTGTACTTTGTAAGAGTTGTAACTTTCTACTTGTGCTCATGTGCTGCTGGAGCTCTTTACCCCAGAGGCCCAGAGTTATATATTTTACCTTCTTAATGCTGCAATTTAGTGACACACGGCATTTGCTGTTTATTATTAGGCCATTATGTTCACATATGTCTCTATGAAGTGCTCAAGCTGCATCTCGAGTCCCTGATTCATGTCTTAGAATTAGCTATTCAAAATGAGAGTTGGTTACTGATATTGTTAGCTCAAGTTTTACCGTTTAATATCCCGGTAAAAGAGAATTCAAATTCCATTTTGTGTCAATATTTATAGTACTTGGCTGCTTTTTTTCCAACTGGCATTGCTGAGTTTAATAGTTTCTTTTAAAGTCTTAGTTTTGTCTTGAACTCTAGGCTCCCAATTCTGGCATCCTTTTATTAGAAATTGTAATGTTCAAAGTTTATTAGAGGGCACCCAAGATATTAATTTCTGCACTCTTAGGAAATTTGAGTGGTAAGAACCTATCTCCAATTATGATTCCTCGTCTATGGCAGAGTCCTCTTCAAAGGTGTTGCTTCTAGTTTGTCCTTACCAATGATTACTTAATTGTAATTCTGGCATCTAAAGTAAACTTTTGGCCCATAAAACCGTTATATTTGGATGGAATTTGTCAACTTAATGTTTGAAATAGTAGTTTACTAACAATTTCCTGAAGTAGTAGATTTTTGTTTATTGGCAGCTTTTTCAGGATTGGATCAATTGTCTTAGCTCTGCATGATGCAAGTGATGTTTTCATGGAAGCTGCTAAAATTTCCAAATATTCTGACAAAGAGCTTGCAGCAAGCGTGTTCTTTGGTTTATTCGCTCTGTCATGGCTCATGTTACGGCTAATATTCTTTCCTTTTTGGGCAATTAGAGCTACCAGGTCTGTTCCTTTGTCAATTTCCCTGATCTCAGGGACTTGGTAAATATTTTGTCATTTTGTTTACTTGTTGTCTGATCTTTTCAGCATTGATCTCTGTACGGTCTTGAACCTTTCGGACCCCTATGATAAAGTTCGGTACTATGGTTACAATACCATGTTGATTATGCTGCTTATTTTCCATGTGTACTGGTGGATACTCATATGTTCCATGATAATGCGGCAGCTGAAAAATAAAGGAAAAGTTGGGGAAGATATAAGATCTGGTAACCCTCTCTCTTTCCCCCCATCCCTTAAGCAATTTATATTATGGACCGCAGAGCTCAGTGCATTATGCTCTTGTTTATCAATATGCTGTTAATTGGGAACAAAAGAACAATTAAAGTTGTAGTCTGAAATGAGTACATTGTAGTAGTGATGGTGATCAGTGCTGACTGTAACTTTTTTCTTTCAATTTTTGTAGTTCTTAGCAACATGTATTTCAGGTGTAACTTTACATATTTTAATAGCTGTTCCACTTTCCATATGGATTGTAATTGTATCAGTTATTCCACTTTCCTTCTAGGAGGGTAGTCTCCTCCTCTATTAAAGACTTCTATGCCCTCATCTTTTTGTGGCCGTGAGACTTCTTTCCTTTTCTTTTCCTTCATCGCATGGATCCATCTATTCAACCCAGTTTACCTATATTTTATTCTTAACTAACATGCAGAAACTTTGTAGAATAACAATTAATGAACAGAGGAAGTACTTTGTAGGGAAGTCCTCAACAAGTACTTTCAGTTGTGTATTATATTGAATGTTGTGTTACTGTTTATGGACATATTGTTTTCTTATAAATTTCTTTCTTTTGTATCATATTTCTGACCTTTTAAATCATTGGTATGCTCAGGTGTAACATAATCTTCTTTTTAACTGCAGATTCAGAGGATGATGAATAGGTGGAAAATTTTGGTACAGTTAATCCAATTTAGATCTTGAAAATATCTGCATACAGATCATTTGGAAAAATGTAGCACATCTCAAATTGCTCTTGAATCGGCTCCCAGCTTGGATATGGTATGAGATGAAGTGCTTCCATTGGATTAAAATTTTTCCTGTATAGATAACATGTTGTATGATTGTTATCTCAAGCGTCACATCCTTTACGCAGAATTAGAAACCATATATTGTAAAGTGCAGCGATTCTTTCCATTGTAGCTGCCTCTACTCGGTAGCTGGTTAAGGTGCAGTTAGAGCTACATACTGTCAGATGAAGTACGTGATTAATGAAAAATATTGAATGTTTTCGCTCATGATAACTCATTAAATCTTGGACAAGTTTTGGCCTTTTTGTAGTACTACAAGTATCAACATTGAAGATATTGTACTCGTACTATGCATGCTGGATTGGGGATTTTCTTCATATCAACCTTATCTGTGCTGCTGGGGTTCTGGTTATGTGGCTTGAGTTTTTAGCTATACTAGTTTAGATACCGTGCCATGCACGGTTATTGTGAAAGTTATTATTAATCAGTTTGACAACATTTAACAAAACATCTTATATATCAGTAATTACAGTTTTATGAAAATTATTATTTACACCGAGGAGCAAAGTACACCCAAAAGTGTTTCCTGCTCAATTGATAATATATAAACAATATTTATCAAAATGAGTAAAAAGTAATTTGGTAAACATTGTACCCAAATAAATATAAGAATCGTTGTCAATTCTCTCTTAATTTAACTTTTGTACAATTTACACACACTACATTGACTTGACTAATGTTTGTGATTTATACATGAATTTAAATATAGTTATATGGGGGTCTGAATCCTCTATTCCACTATTGTGTCCCATTTAACATTATTGGTCCACATCATTTTAATTATTTCCTTTTCTTGATTTAACTTTTAGTAGCAATCATAATTTGTATTCTAGTTCTTATCTCTCTTTCTTTTCTTGTATACAATTTTGTTTAATTCAACTCCACTATTTTTTCTTTTGTACTACCTCCATAACTTTACAAGAGTTCTAATTTTTGTGTATAATTACCTCAATTCATTCATTCTTTTCTCTAATTGCATCCGTAAATATCAAAGTACCGAATTTCAATTTAATAAAATATATACTACATGCTGAGAAGTAATTTTGTTATGTTGTCATATCCAACTTTACTGAATCAATGATATATATAATTTGAGTGTACAAGCGTTGTGGCAATTATATATATTGTGGGTGATCTAGTGACTCCATCGTATTTGGTTCAGTATACTAGTGAGGGAATGGCTTATAAGAAGCCGCCATTGGAATTTTAGGTAGAAAAATTATGTTAAATTTTAGAAGAAACATTTTTTTTTTTTTTAAATGGAGTTGAATTAAACTTTATCGTACAGAAAAGAAAGAAAGATTAGTACTTAAATATAATTTATTGTATAGAAAAGAAAGAAAGATTAGTAGTTAAATATAATTATGTAGCTAAAATGATGTGGACCAATAATATTGAATGGTACACGGAATGGGACACAATAGTGGGATAGAGGATACTTGTTAGAACCGTCTCAATGTATAGTTTTTGCTTAGTCATTTTCTCAAACACTTGGAGTGTAATAATTTATGCTTTCTTTCTCCTATGATAACGACCTATTCATCTCCATCAATCATAGCTAATAAAATGAAGAAACGTTCAACGAAAATTTTATAGAGCTTATAATTTTACTAATTAACAATTTCATTGTATAACAAATTAATTTCTAACTTTATAAAAGCAACAAAGCTTCTTTTAGTGCCAAGTGTAGTTTTTATATTGGTTAATGAATTATGTGTAAATTGGGATCACTTACACGGAGAGTAATCCTATTTATCTCTCAATAAATATATATTGGTTGAGGAAGTTGTCATTGATGTACAATAGCGGAAATCAATATTGGAAGATAAAAGCACTAACTAATGAAGATAGTTTATTAATAATGCCAAGTTATGCAAGTATGGAGGAATCTATTAAGTGGGTTGTAACAATATTCCTTATTATGGGGTAAAAGTGGGCATCATTAAATAGTCTATTATTAACTGCATGTAGGCAGTAATTAATAACGTGTTGAATTCGAAGCTTGCAAGTGGGATTTCGTACAAGTATATAAGGTGGTGAACTAGATAGAGCTTTCTCAGTGTCCAAAAAAAAAAAAAATATTATAATGGCTGCTGCTTTCCTCATCTCATTTCTAACTATACTTCTCTGCAAAACACAGTTATTGAAGGTGTTCAGGGCCATTGTAAGGTCGAAGGCGGCCATGGGGGAATGAGCTTGTTTCTTAAGTCTCGGTTGGTGTTACCAAAAAACCAGAAATAGGTTGGACACCATTGCAATATGTCATAACGAAACCTCATCATTTAGGATTGAAGGCACTTGGAGTTCACCCTGGAACTCCAATATGTCATTTCCTTCATTCCCAGGTACTTAAAGTAGATGTTAGCTCCCCAAAGTATATAAAATCCCTTGTACGTACTAATTATATGTTAGAGATATGAGATATCGAAAAATATATGTGATATATATTTTTCGTATATATCATTAATAGAATGATATATTTAGGATATTTATGTTAAGATATTATTTAGAAAATATATCTTTAAGATTTATGGTTAGGTTAGTATATCTTTTAGGAAGATTGTTTCCTATCATATAAACTTAGGTTTTGTATAAATACTCTACCTAATGATTAATAATAGACAAGCCATTCTATTCTCTCTTTCCTAATTTGTCATGGTATCAGAGCCCAGATTGTGTTGTGATTTGAGCCAGTATAAAAGTGAAAAGGAATATTGGAATGTGTATTTCACATTGAAGAAAAGAGAAAGTCGTGTCCATTTTATAAGGCTAACACGAACGTGTATTTCACATTGTTTCCTATCATATTGGAATATTGCCATATTGTTTTGAGGTGGAACCTCCTTGGACTTGTATAGTGGACACTTGTGACGGATGTGGCCCATACCCGTTTGTCATGGTATCAAGAGCAGGTTAGATATTGGGAGTGTTTACAAAAATTGTCCCCCTGCCGATGGGTTAGAATATTAAACCCATCGGTTGGATAGCCAAAATTATAGTTTTTTTTTTCTTTTAATATTTATTATGCGTGAGGTTTGATTTTTATTGAGACTTAGTTGCTTGTGGTTTGTGATGCTTCCATTTAAATCATGGGAGGAATTTTTTTGTGGGTTTCCTTAGTTGACGAGGGTGATTGAATTAGGGTATTAGCTTTGACCTTGATTTGAGTAAAAAAAAAAAAATGGCTCTCTTGTGTCAGGAGACCAGATATATTGGTTCCCCTTGTGCTGTGAGATAGGGTTTGTGATTTGATTTGAGCATAATTTTGCTCCTTTGGATATGAGTTTGGTTTTGCTCTAAAATAAAACCAATAAGAGATTTGAGTGTGGTTTGCTCTGAAAAACCAATATTTGATTGGAGCTCGGTTTTGCTCAGGAAAAACCAAATTAAATACGACGAGTTCGAGAAAAAGAGACGTTCTCGTTGTAATGTTATTTTTGCAGGTTTGAAAAGAATGACGTTCCTGCTCGGTTGATAATTAATGGGTTCAAAAAGCTGAATGTTCTCATCATTCAAGAAAAAAAAAATAAAAAAAAATAAAAAAATTTGAAGGCGACATCACCAGAGTAGTGCATCTCGACTTCAACCAAAGTGAAGAATTTTCAATCGCAACGTTCGTGTTACTGCCGTTACGATTGCGGGAGGGTGTTAGTGATATGAGATATCGGAAAATATATGTGTGATATATTTTCCGTATATATCATTAAGAGAATAATATATTTAGGATACTTATGTTAAGATATTATTTAGAGAATATATGGTTAATATTTATGGTTTCCTATCATATAAGCTTAGGTTTTGTATAAATACTCTACCTAATGATAAGCCATTTTATTCTCTTTTTCACCCTAATTTGTCATTATATTATATATATAAAGCTTATTGTGAAATCTATATACAATCCGGGTAATTCCAAATTTCTCATATTGATTAGCAAGTATTGTTTCTCATGGGGGTATATTTATTCCTTCTTTTTTTTTTTCACAATTTACTTTCGAGGAAGCTAAGAATCATAATTTTCATAGTCCAAATTCAACTAAAAATACGTCAAAAAAAAAAAAAAAAAAAGAAAAAAAGAAAATACTCCCAATTGAACAAAGGTGGTCGTATTTCTTCCCCTTGTGATACTACAAGCGGACCAAAATTGCGGAAATGCGAATTCTATTAAGGTGGAAGTCATTGCGGCTATGGGTGTTAGTAGAATTGTAGTTCTTTCCATTTTCACTATGTTTTCGTTGCAAACTGTGTTAAGTTGATCATTAAAGTAATTTGATTTTTGGTACGGTTTTTAAACACTAGAATTATATATGAATTAATTTCTACATACTGTATTTGGATACCAAAAACCAACTTCCACAGTGAGAAAGAGAGCGGTACAGGGAACATGAAAGAATTACCTAACCTTCAATTTTGTTTGGACAGGGTAAAGTAGATATCGAAATGGACTGTTAACTTTCACATTTGACGTCGTCCCATACAATCATCTACCATTACAACTCATCAAAGCCCCCACACATGTCTAGTCAGCAAACAAGAAATATATAAAACCATTATTTGCAATTCCCAAGGCACAAATATTTCGATTTTGCCACTAGAGATACCAAAATCGTTTCTCAATATGAGAAACTGGGCATCGCCCATACAAACCCAAAAAAGGCCAGTCCTTTAAGGAGTCTTTTGCGATGGCCTTTTGCGACTAATGTATATCACAGTACTAGAGATGAATTTTCACAAAGCTGCAAAAGGCAAAAACATTGCAGGGTTCAAAGTAAAACTTAGTTAAACCCTATTAATACACTACTCTGTAATATAAATTTTCAACACAAACTATCTACTGTAATTAATACCCCAGCATTTTACAATTACAACTATACATAACAGCCAACCTTAACTTATCCTAGTGTATAGAGCATTAAGGGGAAATGTCCACAAGCGGACAGAGTAACTCGAGTTTTGTTAAACTGTATCAAAAGCAGAGGGAATGCACAAACAACAATAGGCAAAAATGTCATCATCCAAAAATGTATGGATGGCTGTGTATGGAGCATATGAAAAAATTTGATACACAAGAGCTGCAATGGTGACAGAAGTTTTGCATCCAATCTGAGCAGCTTTAAGGACCGGCAAGCATAAATCATTATGGTAATAGAGTGCTAAGTTGCCTCTTGAAAAGTTCACCGAGTGCCCCACGAACATCCATCTGAAACAAGCTCAATGGTCAGAATTTCACCATGTAAAAAAAGACTTCAAAGTTAATCGACATTAGCTGGACTGCAATGACCTCTATGATGCGTAACTTTTACATGCCATCTCATAATTCAGAGCACCACTTAATCAATGTAAACCAAACAAAGCACACATTTTACCTTTTACACAAAACTATTGCTCAGTTGTTTCACACTAAATAACTTCTCTCGATCTTCTAGTATGTGAAAGTGATAAGTGTCTTGGATTTTGATTGTGAATTATTGTACTACCTCCGTTACATATATGTTGCAACTTTGGGTATTATTTGTGAGAGAAATATTCCAAAGTTTCAACTAATATGTAACTGAGGTAGTAGTTTATGGGAGTTACGAGTTAGTGCATCAAAACTAACAAATTAAGCATTTGCCACAAACAAAAAAAATAAAATAAAATCATACTATGGCAACAGCAATTGGTGCAAAGAAAGTAAAAGAGATTGGGGGATTTCTTTGATAGACAGGTTGGTGCCATAAAGAGGAGCTAGAATTATCAGGGACTCTGGGAGCAATCTTAAAGAAAGGTGGCTGTGGAGACATCAATATGGACTCCAAATGCAATCACTGGCCACACCTTGACTTAGGGTGCCCTGTGAGTACTAATATTTTTTTCCCTGCCTACCAAAACATGGAGCCTACTTCAAAATAAACAGCCAACATCCTAACTAGAAATAAGTTGTTCAGGTCAGTAGGTCACAAACCGCTACCTGCAAACCATAAGATCCTTATGTATCTAATAACTATCCCAGAGAGCAGCACCCTGATAGTGGTTTAACACCAGGTTGTAAATCTAATTACTATCCCAGAGAGCCTGAATAATACTGGGGAAGGGGAAAAAAAAAAAAAAAAAACAATTGGATGAAACATATATATGTGCCATACTGTGATGCAACCCTTTTTAAAATAGCAGTAAACTGGATACAATTTCTATCATTGGATTGTTTCCAGCAAACATCAGTGGCAAAGAACTTGGTGCTCGCGGCTTAATTCATTAAAAAACACACATGGATAGATCTACAAAGAATCCAATACCAAGTAAGATGATCACCTGATCACAACACACAAGCTTGGTAAGCAATGGGTAGAACTCTCTGAGGTGTTTTCTGAATACATGACTATTCATAGAGGACATGCCTTTTATGACCTGCAAGTCAAAGACAGAGAACTCTCAGTTTGGGCATCATAAAATTAACAAGGAAATTACACTGGAAGAGATGTAAAATTTTTGGAGATACTGCTATTTATATATTTTTTATTTTTTTTACTCGAGGACTAACATTAGCTACTAAAAAACAGTGCATAATTTCATTCTTAAGAATTAAAAATTACAGAAATTCCAAAATTGGCGGGGTCTTCAGGCTCAGATGAAACTTGAAAAAATTTAATTGCATTTCAAGTACACCTAAAAATGAAGTTGGTTATTGGGAAAAGACTCAGGCATGCTGAGGTTCTTCTCTTTAATAGTAGTTGCTGTAATTCTTAATAAAAGCTCAAAATAGTAATCGAAAACTTCGTATAGCCAAATGTTAATTGCTTTTACGGCATTGAGTACAATCAAATATTTTGCACTTCACACATGAATAGCAAGCATTTAAACAGGAATTTGAATCTAATGGTCATTTGGTTAAGATTTTTGATTCGGTGGCAACTGCTTATGAATTCAAGAAGGCTGGAAGCGCAAAAATACAAAATTAAAAGTGATGCACTTACCCTCACAATTACAGGAGAACGCAACTCTAACACCCGATGAATTTCCACATCAGTAGTCTCACCAACAGCAGACTGAAAATCAGACGCCTCTTTCAGCATATGCCCGCAAAATGATACGAGTTTCTCTTCTGCTACCCGGCCAAGATTCTCATCTGCAGAAGAATAGGCCCTTGTATTTAGGTCACTCTCAGCTGTGGACACATTTGAAACCTGAATGTCACTTGTTTCAAGATTGTTCTCTGCGGTAGTATCAAGTTCTGAGGTGGTTTTATGTAATATATCCATGTAAATACAGGTGCTTGCCAATTCCTGGCGTAGAAGGTTCAATGGAGGCCTGCAAGATTCAACATGTGTTACTAAATGTCCTTATCATTCAAGAAAAGATATTTTGAATGCAGCAATTACATGAAAGAATCGACTATTAACTATCAAGCGTTATTCTCAGGTCAAGGGAAAGCAATGGAAAAAGTAAGCAACAATTCAATAAGAATCGGAGATGAAACCACTGGATCCTTAGGTTTCTTCAAAATTATGTGATAGAGAAGTAGAGGCAACACACACATTGCTTAACTACTTATACAGAACTGTAAAATTTGAATTGGCAAACATAAAGTAAGAGTTATGTCACGAGTCAATTGCATCACACTATTACATAAGTTAGGAACTATAGATTTCCATTACCTGGAGCTGTATTTTCCATTACAATATTGTTTTTAGACTTTGAACAGTTTACACGGGAAAATCCTTTGCAGAGCAATTTGGAAAAAAGAGAAGTATAGTCTTGCATGTTAGTTGTACATGCCAACTAATCATTTCCAAATCATACTGCTTTTTTACAAGGAAAATTGTTTTATAAAATCACGTAGAGGGAACTACAAACACTTCATCATACTGATAGTAGTCTTTTAGCAAATGGAGATAGTACAAAAGAAAGATTGCCAATGTGCACTGTAGAGCAGAACATGAAAGAGGGGAGCCACTAGACTTAATGGGATTGAATCTAATTAGGAAAAATTGTTTTCCATATTAAGGATTTTCGACTGCAGGATAAAAAAATAAAAGTTATGTTCAGATCATCATTTTCATCATCTTCTTTAGTGTACACAAATTCATGACTGCAAAGGAGTCTGCAGAGTTATTAAGGAATTGAAGGCAGGCACAGGTTACACTAGCGGCAATAAACCTTCAAGTCTTGATAAGGTTTAGCCTAGCTCAGCATGAGCCCAAAACCCAGCAAGCGTAAATTTTTTGAGCTCGGCAAAGTTGAATTTTAAAAGCAGCTTTAACGTAAACTCATGAAGCCTAGCCCACTTTTAAAAAATACGTCAGCTCAAGGTACAAGTTTGTGTTATATGCAGGTTGCGTAAAAGACTTTAAGTTCCACGCAACCCCCGGCCCAACTTATGGCTAGGAAACATTGTAAAACCTTTTATTTAATCAGATTCTAAATTTGTAACTCATCTTTTATAGCACCTTGTTATCTATCGATTTGGGACTAAGCAACCTTGTAAGCATCTAGGTTGAGAAAATTTGATGGTCGAATATGGCGTTGAAGGTAAGAAGCAAATGAACTTGCTTGTATTATATATCATCAAGCAAAATAAGATCCCTTTGATTGATAGTCGTGGGAGCATCATTGAAAGAATCTTTATTAGGATTTCATATCTTACAAATCTATGATCCCAAAATACATGATTGATCCCTATTCTAAGCAGAATAATTGTAGGATTTTTATGATCCTACCAAGAAAATACAGTGAAATGTAAGGCTCTTAATACAATTTGCAATTGTACAATCTAACGATCCAACCTAACAATGACAACTTGAATTGATAAAATAATTGTGTTAGTGTTCACTAATTAGTTTCATATATGACCATATAAGTGTAAAAAAAAATCAATCATCAATACTTTCATATTTACATAATGAGGGTAAGATATAAGGGAGTAGACCTAAAAGAATCAAGCATAGTAGAACAAAAAAGAAAGGACTAAGATGGAAAGAGAGTTAAACATAAAAGAGCTGAGGAGCTTGATACATGTAGTGTTAAAGAATCACTGCTTATTACTTTATTTCTTCAAATATATGACTGATCATGATTATTTACCAACAACATAATTATATTTTAGCAATGATGTAGAATCCTGAATTTGACAAATTAGTTAAGAGAAGATGGCTATATTATGGAATAGTTATCTACTTCAAAATGAATTAAATTGATTCAGGGAGAAATTATTTTTTACCAGCTTTGTCAGCCCACTAATATTCAAAAGCTAGGACTACCCCTATCTTCAGTTATATTTTTTCAAGTTAATTGTCCAATCCAACTACAAAGTATATATACATTAGCGTATTACTAATATATTATTCCCGTAGTCCCACACTAGTTTATACGCTTTCCTTTTTTTTCGGTACTATTGTATGTACTTCTTTAATACCCAGTCTTTTTTTGTTTTTTTTTTTTGGTTCTACTCACTTCTAATTTTTTATTTTTTTGGAAACCCCCCCCCCTCTCTCTCTCTCTCTTAATTGTCTTACATTCTTACCCTTTTTATATTACGAGTAATAAAGTTGTGTTTTTCAGCCGAGCTGGGTTTGGCTTGTTAAAATCTCAAGTCAAACTCAGGCTCAAACCTAGTTTACACATGAGTAATATATAAGAGTGTTAGGGCTCAAGAGTCAAAATATGAACACTTCAGTTCTCAATAGTTCTTAAAAGCATAACTGCATATTAATGTACTGAAAGTAACTGAAGAAATTCAAAGCACAGATGATAGTCTCCTCATTAGAAGAAAATAAAGCAACTAAAATTCATTTTAGAGCTTGAATCAAGAAGAAGCTACCTTCCCACAGGAATATGGCGCATGCGCAATCGAAGGTTAGGATATGAATTATATGAAGCAGCAAAATCCAATATTGATAGCAAAATATCCATGATGGTGACCTTCTGCTGGGCTTTTAACTTGGGCCAAAAAAATTTCTGCACAAAAAATCATAAATAAAGCTGAGTTTGTAGACTAATGTAGAACTAACTGTATGAAAATGAACAATGCATATTGGACAAGATGTTTCAAATACACTATTGCAGCATAAAAGCCAGGGGTAAAGGTATTTCAGATAAAAATCAAAATCCAATAAAATCTTATCCAATCCAAATCAAGGTAATTCAGATTGAATTTACTTAATTCATATTGATTTAGACTCAATTCTTGTTTAATTTTTATTATTATTTGAAAATAGGATTTTCTGATTAGATCAAATGAGTACGGATCCAATCTATAACCAAATTAACCAAACTTTTATATGAACTATCTTTACAGTTTTTTCAAAAACACTGAAATTGGGGCCCCCACAGCCTGTATGAAGAATATTGCTCTTAACCCTAAAGACACCCCTTCTCTCCCAAGAGTCATTTTACTTATTCCTCACTCTTCTTAGAAAACAGTGTCTCATCCACTTTCATAAACCATCCCCCATACTCATATATATTTAATCTCTCTCATTCTCATTATTTTTCATCTCCTTATCTCACACCCTCCCTCACTCATGTATCTTCCTTCATCTCATTTTAAGTCAATCATTAGATTTGGAGAAAAAAATTTCATATGCAATACATTATTCATTCATATTAATCTGTGTAATTTATTTAAAATCTATGACAGGAAAAAGTCGCTTATGTAAAAAATTCATTTTCATTTTATGGTGTAATCACTAATCAGCTGGCCTTAGTAATTATTTACTATTAATGACTGATATTGTAATCCTGGTTAAACTGCTCATTTTTTAGTTTCATTTAGCAAAATTCTATCTTTTGTTTATTTAAGTATGATCAGCTTTAGAATGTCAAATTGGACCCGAACAAGCACATAGAATTATCAATTGGATTCGACTGTATTGTAGTCCTAATTTGGTTTGGTTTGTTTTGTAGTCCTGATTCAGTTTAGATATCAATTGAAAAACAAAACCCATTTGTTTTGTTTGGGCCCTAATTTAAACTGTACAACAAACTTTTACCCTAAATAATGATAGTCAACATATAATGAATTTACATTTCTCAAAATTGCTTTAAATATAATTAGCTTTCAACAGGGTTAATGTAAATGCAGAAACACATTGTTTCTCCATTTAACACTGTATGTACAGCTTCCTAAGAGCTTAACCATCACTCAGAAAATGATTGCGTTAGATATAAATCTTTGAAAAAAGATAGCACGATTTTAGCATAGCCTTAAAATCTCATAATTCAACACATAATTACAAAGCTCCCGCTTTATAGGAAGAGCAATGCGGTAGGTAAGGCAGAACTCCTTGGAAAATCTACCCAATATAGCAAGGTTTGAATGGCTCAAGGCCCACTAAGGTGATAGGGTCCTATAGCCTACAAGAATACTGCAAGCATGAGGCGTGCACTACATCAAAGTGTTCAATTTTTTGAATTAAAATTATGTCTTTAAAAAATGGTTGCACATATAATATATTAATGCAGCAATTGTGCCTTTTTGAGTGCCTCATCATATATGCCTTGCCCAGGGGCTGCAGCAGCTTAAGCTTAAGAGCCTAGGTGTGCCTTTCAAACACGAAGTTATAGTGCTTTCAAAATCATCTAATCGTGAATTATTCTTTCCTACAGCCAACAGGACCTCTTTTTCCTACAAGGAATAAGTAACAAAGATTGCACATGTATTATAAATGAGCAGTAACAGTTAACTTTAAGTATATCCTTCATACCTGAATACTATCTATTGCACCGAGAAGCAACAACTGGGTGATGCATTTACCCCTAATCGTTGTTAACAATAGGCTTTCCGCTTCGTCCTTTGTATCAAACTCTACTGTTTCAGGCAACTAATGTTGAACAGGTTCAAACCAAAAACAAAATATGAGTTTACATTGAAATAGTAAGAAACTTGATAGTAAGAGAATCATGTTAATACAGTCAACCAACAGGTAACAATATATGTGCAATGTAATTGAGAGTAATCTAGCTGAAAAACTATAGCATAAACATGCAGTTTGCATAAAACCAAAGCATCTAATGAGGTAGCCATTTTAAATTGGAAAGATTTATAAAGCTCAAACTTGTTGAAGGAACCCTTATAAATGGACTCATAGGTTTTGATAAAAAAAATTATAAATCTACTTGAACCCACATTCCATATAAAAGTCCTATGTTTTTAAGCCTCATAACTGTATCAAAGTGCTTGAATTACAGATCTAAGGTTTTCATTTCGGGTTCGTCACCATGAATGGCTCTTCTCAGCAAAGGAATAATGATGATTTTTTTTTTTCCTAATTTTGAAATTGGCCTGGATTAAACTTTACTAAATCAAGAATTCTAGGACACTGGGACAAAATACATAGAGTGAACTAGTGGAGTCGAGGAATTAAATCAAGATCGTTTTTGAATGCAGGGGTCATTTGGAAAAGGATTTTCAACTAGATGTTCCATAAAAGTTGTTCGTAACATGTGTTTAAATTACACCACAACCTCGTCATAGACATTTGTGTTTTAGCATGATTCAACTGATCACTAATGACATTAGGCATATTGATTTTTGATACTTTCATCAGATATATAGATACCTTTAAACTTAAAATAAAGGGTACTATACCCTGTATTCAAGCATACTCTGAAATAAATGTTCCAAACAGTGAAGAAATAGAATTATTCCCAATTTGTCAAAACATGTTATTACTACAATTGCAATTTTATTGTTACGATGTGGACCCCTGAAATTACAATCTAAGGATTTTTACAAACATCCAAATTCTTCTCAGATATTTGAGTTACATGATTACCTCTGTTTGAGATTGCACAGCAACATCAACTTCGTCGTATTTTGCCTTGGAAGTGAAGCTTCTGAGAAAACGATTTTCCATCACATTGCCCATTATTCTTTGACTAAAGCTCTGATTCCTCTGCTGATCCCCAGAATCAGTGGACTTCTGAGACGGTGATGGTAATCCTGCACAATTTAAATTTTTAGCTTTGCTTCACAGTCCATTGTGATTAACAAGTTGCTATGAATGCTATCAACATGGAATTGGAAATTGACCTTCAGATACTTCTGAATGCAAGATAGCACTATTAGTGTCCCCTTTATCACCATCTATCTGTCTGCTATCCACAGACTCATGGCCAATGGAATTAACAGACACCCCATCACCTACATCAGTCTTCGAATCCCCCAGATGTTTAGGTGTATTTGATTGTTTGAAACCCAAATCATTCAGCAGTTCAAGTGGTTGTGTAGTGTATGAAGCATCTCTGTAGGTCAAAGAAAGCAATACATAACTTGAATTGAATCACAAAAAAAAAAAAAAAAATAATAATAAATAAAGAAAGAAACACGCACACGGAGAAAAGCAGGTACAAACCTTATGCTTTTTAATAAAGTGTCCCAATCAGTATCACTGAACTGATGTCCGCCAACTTCAATGAGATGTACAAGTGCACCAAGTGCTATAGATACTACTGATTGGTCGGTCTTCTTGGCGCAATCCAGCAGTAAGCTAAGCAATGGTGGCAGCATAAAAGATACTTCCTAAATAATAGAAAAATTGATACTTTATTATGAAATAGGCTTCGATTACCAATTAATTTAATCAGCATGTAGTAAGCATACAAAATTAGAGAAAGTGAAAAATGGTGAGTGACATTCTAAAAGCAGAAATAGAAAGACAAGTGTAAACATAAACTAAAAGCAACATTCCAGCGGCCAGCCTCTGTGAAAGTCCAGCCAGCACACACACACACACTGAGGTATTATTTTAGATTCTTAACAATAGTTTTAGCTTATTCTTAGTATTTCATCTAAAGCTTTATCTAGAACTGCTTTTATTTTTTGTCCATAGCAGCAAACAATCAGGACATCATTCACTATTAAACATAATTTAAGGTATGAAAGGATTAATTTTGGGATATTCTATATGGTGGCCCTGTGATATTGCAATTTGTATTTGGTAAAGCAAATTCTTTTTTGGGTACTTTCTCAAGTGACCTTGTGATATTGAATAAATAACTAAGTTGCACAAATTATCTTCTTTATGGCTAACCCATACTTTGATGGCAAATTTTCTAAGAATAAACACTTAAATGACTAACCGACCCTTCTAGTTAAAATCTCCAACCACCACCCCATCCAAAAACAACACCACTACCTAGCCCCACCAGCCCAACCAACAGCACCATCTAACCTCACCAGTCAACCCAAAACACCCTGCTAGTGGCTTTCTTCCTACAGTCAATCTTCTATCATCTCCTCAATTCAACCCGACTCAACTCTTCCATATCCTCCCCTTTCTCTTTCCTCATCTTCCAGTTCCAATTTGACTCATCCCCAAATTTCTTCTCTTCAATTAATGCTCACTTTATGCTTCAAATTATATTGCTAACTTGGTCCACTATTATTTGATTGGACAATATTTCAAGAAGTTCTCACTTCAATCCTCATTGTGAATGGTGTAATTTGGTTGAATTTATACAGAAAAAGCAAAACCCATAAACTACATGTATTCATGAACCAAGAGCAAGTCCAAGTTTTCCATACGATCTAAGCAGGAGCATCATTCTTTTAGTTTATTCATAAATAAATACTTAGCTAGCTGTTTAATGAACTGATTCGGGGACTGGGGAATGAATAATGCAGCAAGTATTTGATGCACCTAAATGGTATGCAATTGCAGCCCCTAACCTCAAGATGAGATTGTAAATGATATGAAGCAGCTTTATGAGCATTGTGGTGGAGAAGGCTATATAAGAGGAGGGGTTGGGTTTTGTAAATTGGGATGCATGACAATGTTGATCATATGCGGAAGAGGGGAATTTAGTACTTTGTAAATTAAGAGAAATGGAGGACAAAAAATAAAAGTTAGGGAGGTAGAGGAAGAATAAACACAGTGGGGATTGACTATGGAGGATGATAGATGAAGATGAGAGTAAATGGGGAGGGTAGGTTAGTAAATTCATTCATTTGAGCACAGGTTAGCCAATTAGGGCATTCTAATGATAAGTGCAAACTACAGGGGCATTTGAGAAAGTCCACAAAAAAAAAAAAAAAAAGTGTGTACCACATAGAAATTGCAATTTTAAGAGGCCACCATTTAGAATATCCCATGAATCTTTTAGAGGTTTACTATTAGACAGAAAATTAATTTTCTTGAGGAATCACAAGCCTAACATAACTTGTAAATTATCATAATCAATGACCATATCAGCATTAAAAAAATAAAAATAAAACCCCAGATATAGAACAAAGGTGATAAACTGGGGCAGAGGGTCAGGATTTTCCATCTGCTACCTAGCAAGAAAAGTAAATGCAACAGCCAGCTACAATGAACTACAAATTCTCGGTAAAGAAATAAGGAGGCGAATTAGGCTAATTGACAATTCAAATACATGACAGCAAGCATATTGTGCCTTCAGACTTTGCTAAGTGACTAATTATGTTACAGGCTTACAGCAGACCAAAAAAAATGGAAACTTAAGAAATAATGAAATGCTAGGCTGGTCAAAGTGTGACCTATACATATACTACAGTTTCTGCAAAAAGACTGATATATATCATAAACAAGAGAACCTTCAACGTGCCCAATAAAATCAGATCTGATTTTCATTTTTGACCAAGACAATTAATTAAGCTAGTTGTTTCACTAACAAAATCAATGTCTTATGATAACAAATTTGGCAGGATAGTTATTCCCCCCCCCAAAAAAAAAGAAAGAAAGAAAAAAGAAAAAAAAAAGGCAGGATAGTGGATAAAAAGGTCTTTAATAAGATTAAGGTTAGAAAGAAAATATCTCATCTTTAACAAATGAATCTAAATTCAAGCAGGGTATTGTCCAAGGGAATCATGATGATCAAATTCAAATACAAAACTTGCGAGAGTTCAATCACACAAAACGGAACAGCCTTAATATTGGTTCATGACTTTTACATGTTAAGACTTTAAGAGAGTACAAAAAAATCCATTAAAAGAAAACACTTGGCATCAATGATGGAACACATTAATTCAGGTTATTCCATTTCCATGCCATACATGCTTTAAAAAAAATCATGAGAGACAAATAAAAGAATAGCTAAGACGATTCATACCTTGTAAAAAGTGTTGAAAAGGTTACACAGCAGCTGGAGTGAGTGAATGCAGGTTTCATAGAGCCACTCATCATCAGAAGCAGTCTCCTTTCCAGCATGCCTTACATGATCAAAGATAGGAAAAAGGACTCGGCGAAAAATACTCTCCCAGAAAGATGGAGAGAACTTGCTACCCCTCTCATTTAATAGATCAAAAAGAACTTCTAGTGCACAATTTCTGACCTCAGCTCTTGGATCTGAAGTAAGATCTGATAAGCCAGCCAGCATTGGGAACCAGTAATGTTCAGTCACATCAAAACTTTCATCCGCATTAACATCAATAGGCTTTAGAGAACCGCCAGGCACAAGACCCTTACATATGATAAACCAGCCAGTCCAATTAGCTTAAAGTAAGGTAAGACATAATCACATAAATGAATAATGCATGATACACCACTTCAGAATACAGTTACGCTAATGCAGACTGTCACATCTTATTATTGAAATCCTTTGGAAACGAGAAATGATAAGTCCCCACAAGATCAAACTAGTCCAAACTTTAAATTACTTGAAATGGATGACCAGGGATGGAGAGAACCAAATTCACAAAATCCAGCCAATACTTTAATGGAGCTCCAAAATTGACATTTTACAAAATAAATATTTCAGTGAGAAAAAATGAACCAAAGAGTAATAGGATTTACAGAAACTAAGGATCAATGGCATAAAGTGATACTGGACATTTAGAGCTGTTGACAGCAATCGACAGAGAAGGAAAACAATAATGTTAGACAGCCGACAAATCCACATCACTAGTCAAAACAGATTGTGCGCGATGCTAAAGCAACTCTCATAAAAAATAAATAAAATAAAATAAAATAAATAAAAAAAATGTTGCATAGAAACGGAATCAGAAATCCAGAAACGGTGACACGGAGAAACATCTAATAAATGTGGAAAGCCATTTTCTTATTTAGTAAGTTTATTTACAAATATAACATTACTTCTTTTTCCTTCATTGAAATAACGATAAAAAAATTCAGGTGGAGTATTCTTTGTAGGAAATTAATTATTATAATTCTTTATAAAACTATGATGCCAAAACAGAGGGTTGGATAGAAAGAAAAAGGTTAAAAGAAGATATGTTCAGACTTCCTATATGCTTAAGATTTTACATGTGTACTATTAATGTGTAAATGCATATAATCCCCTACACATTGAAATTGACAGGATAGGTAACCCGTACACGATATTTAATAGTTTCTCACAGTTGGAAACAAAAACATGAAAATTCTTTCTCATCTTTATCAGGAAATGAAACACTAGCAAATGATGACTGCAGATTGCAGACCTGCAGTTACCAAGAAAGATGGCCAGTAGCAGATAAGCTAAATCTCAGATAACCATACACAGAAAAGCAACTAAAAAATGCATGATTGCTGGTTATTGAGTAATATAAGTCAAACCTCTGCAAGTCGGTCTTCACAAATACGCAATAGTGCAATAGCCTTCAGACTTATGCGATGGGAGGTTTTATTGTTGGCAAACCCAATAAGACAGTTGACACAGTCCATAAAGCAATCCCCAACAACTTGATCAAAATGTTCTAAGATCACTGAAAGTCACATGAGTGTCAGATAACATCCAATTACATCTGATAAGTCAATTGAAGACAAAAAAAAAAAAAGTCAACAGCAATGCTCACCCTGCTCCACATTTTCAAATGCACTTTCAACAATGGGTTCTGATTCATCATCTGCAGCAGCAGTAAAAATCATAAAGACACTTCGCCAACCTGACTTTATGCTTCCCACCTTTGATTTTATCATCTGTGAAATGACATTCATAATATAAACTATAAAACATTAGAAGAATACTCAAATTTAAACCTGCCAATGCAGTAAATGCAAGAGAGAGAGCAATTGAAAAGTTCACTTGGCAACCTGAACAATACAATCAACAATGAGCCTTCTCGTGGATTCACTTCTACTATTCCGCATAAGGACAACAAAAGGCTTCAATATGTCATTTTGGAATGTAAAGTTGGCGAGCTCCTCACGTTCTAAGTACTTCATACCAAGTTGTCTTAGAGAATCAATAGCATACATTGCCACCTTCTCGTCATGATGACTTCCAGCAGAAATAAAGTGATTGGCAAGGACAGACCATATTCTAGCCCACACCTAAAATAATAATTTAAACATCAATCCCGCACCCAGTCAGATACATCTTCATGAATTAATAAGCTTTTTGAATATCCTCTTAATCTAATAAAGTTCTGATATTTAATCATAACTCAATATCAAAAGAGCACTTTGGAATGCCCGCCAATGATATCACTACAAAAATAAGAACGCTCAAGCATGCATTCTATAGGGGGCAGAGAGAATACCATACGTATGCGGGCCATGTTGTAATAGCTTATTTCAACGAGTTTCTGTAAGCTAAAAACACGAGCTGGTGTTTGTTTTAGTTCTTCTGCAGATACGCCACAAAGGGCTGTAAAAAACTCAACTATCGCACTACTTGGCAACCTAACACTGTTCAAAAATACTTGCTCCGTAGGTTTTCCTGCCAATTCCCTAAGAGATTGAAGAAGTCCATCCCTAGATATTTGATTTGATCCAAGCATCACAGTTGCAGCTATAGCAGGATTTGAGGTGATATACTCTAGTCTAGAAATGCATTCCAGAACAGCATTCCATGTGTCCTCAAGAGAATCAGTATCAGACTCACATAATGCTAGCAAAGTCCGCAAAGCTTCAACATTTTTGCTCCGCATTTCCTTAGGTGCATGCAAGAATGTGAACCTGTAGGAAAAGATCAACCATACAAAACTGAAAAGCTTTGACGAAATTCCAAACAAAATCAAAATACACTTTTGAGCTGGTAGTAAAAAGAGATAATTTAAACAAAATGACACCTGAAAGGTCCATCATCTATCAACAGAGTAAAAGTTTCCTCCATATACAATATATTTTCCAACAATCAGAAGCAACAGTGTTAACGATATAAAGTTTCATCAGATGAACAGCATTTAAAATATCAATATCCACCTTTCAGCTATCTAGTTTTATATGTTTTGAAAGGAAAGATAAGTTATGGTTATCTGAGAGATTCTCAGAAGATGATATCAAAAATCACGAGGAAACATCTGAAAAAACATTTTCCTGGAAAACCCATAATCTGTATTCATAAAGGATTCTGAAAACTCCCAGAAAACCCATAATCTGATTCATACAGGATTCTGAAAACTGTTCTCAGAGAATAGATTCGAGATCACGAAGAAACAACTAATGTAATCGCCCGTTTTAAAGGACGAACATCCACCCCGTCTGATTATGGAGGGTGTCATGTCTATCGGGGGAAGCTGTAGTGGTAATACTCGCAGCATCATCTACAGCAGGCTCCCCGCAATGAAGTAAAATTAAAGAGAAACATGCTAAATATTCTCAGACTGATTTCAAGATTAAGAATAAATTCAAAGGCAACATTCAAGGGAACCCTGTCTAAAAGTGAACAACTGCGGTAGTTCATGCTCTTTAAGTTGAAAATCCACACAAACACGAGGAAAGAAACAAAGAAAGAGATGTCTAATTGCCACATGACAGTGATGCAATCAAGAAAAAGTTTAACATCTTATACTAAGTATTATAGCTTGGCACTAGAAGTTACCTGACTAATGATGTTAAAAAGGCATAACGCATTGTATTCATTCCTAAGACATGAGTAATGTGAATTCCGGACTTAAATCCCTCCATGCATGCCAGAACCTTTGACTTATTATCTCCTTCCTCCATTATAACTGAAAATGCAGCAAGTAAAGGCCATCCTACAGCTTCAACCATGGGCCTTATGTGTTCAATTTTCTGTGAGGTATGGAAAACCCCCCTTTCTGCAGCCTTACTTCTGAATATGGCTTGCGTTTTCTTAACTATAGCAGCAGTCTCAGATTTTGATTCTGTTGAAGAACTCCTAGGAAGAGCCAAATTAAGGATGCTGACCAGGCGCCCTCTATCTTCAGCTTCAGGTTTCTGTCTGCTATTCTTACCAATGCTAGACAGATCATCTTTCATTTTAATTTCTTCTTTTACAATAGAATCATATATCTCTTCTAAGAGCTCCTGAGGTGCAGTCTCTTCTGCATCAGTCATAGTATTCATACGTACAAAATCAGCCTTCGACATTTTGGTTGGCACCACAGGATTATGAGCATCTGTGTTCAGCATAATGACTGCATAGGCAAGAACATAAGCTGTATCCGCATTCTTAAATAAAGATGGATTGTCTGCACAATAGCTGTAAGGCACAGAGTTCAAAGATTGATTAAATAGCCAGCACAAGCAATACAGAAAGGCATTACAAAAGACTGAATAAAGGCTGATAGCAAGAGGGAAATATCACAGTAGACACAAATAGAAAAAAGACATCACTTGGCCACAATATTTGTACAAAGTGGCCATTTACATCCAAATAATAACCTTTTTGAATGGATAAAATCATATATATATATATATATATATATATATATATATATATATATATATATATATATATATATATATATAGAGAGAGAGAGAGAGAGAGAGAGAGAGAGAGAGAGAGAGAGGTTGGCTCATGTGAGAAGTTGTCATAAGGTGAGAAGAGTGAGAAGACATATTGATCGTTAGATCAGTTGCATCTGACGGCTGGTGTTATTTCTACCTCATTAATGGCAATTCTGTAGATAGGTGAAAGTTTGTACATATAAATAGATCAACAGTACCTACTACTTAGGTATCCACGTGAATAAGTTATAAGCTTCACAATTTTTTTCTTTTATCCTACCCCTCTGTTATTTCAATGGAAGATCTTCATCTCTCACCATTTTCTAGCTGGAAACCATTATTTTACACTTTCTTTGTAACAATGATGCAACCTTAAGTTGAATTATGTACTTGATCGAAACTCTAAATCATAAAGAGAAGAAGTGATATTCATTTGACGAACGAGGTTGTCAAGGAGGGTCATGTAGTGGGTGTTTGTGGCCAAGCACTAGCCATTATAGGATCAATTGAGTGCTCCATTTTTTCCATGGAATTTTATTATGTATATTAAAAACACTATTAATGTATCTCTAAGACAATTCTAATGTAACTCTAAAACAATTCTAATGTATCTGTATCACAATACTAATGCAACTATACAACACCTTAATGTACACGAAAAGTCATAAACCTTGAGTTCTTTAACATAATTTTCCCTTTTTTGCTTTTTAAAATTAATTTGCTGGTGCATTTGAAATTCATGTTAATTGTATGTACTTTTTTTAAAAAAAAGGTACGTTATTAATTGTATGTATTTGCAAGGTAAACTTGATGTATCTACTGTGATAAGTTGGTGTACCTCTTATTATAACTTAATGTATCTAAATTTCTCACACTTCTCACGATAAGCATACTTCTCACCGGAACCAACCCCCTATATATATATATATATATATATATATATATATATATATATATATATATATATATATATATATATATATATATATGTATATATATATATATATATATATATATATATATATGTATATATATATATAAGTTTATGTTGTCATCTATTTACAGTTATCCAATGAGTTTATACAGCAATGGGAAAAGCCCCAAATAAAACCAGCTGACAAGCTAGACACTCCCACGCAAACATTATAATACATCTATCCATCCAAATAAAAAAATTCACCTTTCCAAAGGAAGTGGTAGACTTAAGAAGGAAGATTTAATTGCCCTCCAAAAAAAAAAAAAAAAGAAGGAAGATCTAAGGGTTAAACTGTTAAAATATGTTACACATTCAAGAAAATGGACATTAAGGAAGCAATTTGAAATCCTATGGTGACTCTTAGAATGGCAGATTTCGAATAAGGTTCTTCTACAAGAGGGACAAAGTATAAATTTCTATATATGTTACTACATTCCTGATTGCTTGTCCACTTAACAAAATTTCCAATCAAATCCGATGGTGACTCTTAGAATGGCATTGGTTTGATATTGAAGAAGGTTCTTCTACAAGAGGGACAAAGCATAAATTTCTATATACTACCTCCGTTTCATATTATTTGCAACTATTAGACACTTTGCACTCACACTTTATGTCAAATCGTGGCAAATAATATGAAACAGAGGTAGTATGTTACTACATTCCTAATTGCTCGTGCAATTAACAAAATTTCCGTACTTCCTCCATTTTTGTTTAACTTGTAACACTTTGCCTTGTGCACTAATAATATAATCCACTTTGACTAGCTTTGATGATTTATTGTTAAGGAAAAATAAAGCCGAAAAATAAAGCCATGTAGGGTCAGGTTAGATCGACTTGATCTATATTTTCATAATACCAAATTTTTATTATTTTTACTTATGGGTCATTAAAGATGTTAGTACTCCCTCCATTTTTTAATAAGTGTTCCACTTCCATTTCTAGCCGTTTTTTTATAAGTGCTCCATTTCTATTTTTGGAAAGTTGTAAAAATATTTTAATACTTTCTTCCCCAATAATGGTCTCCCCCCCCCCCCCAATTTCATTTTAATTACTCTCTCTCTCTCTTTCCCTCCACAATAACCCACTAATATTTTTTCTGAATTTTTTTTTTTTTATTTTTATTTTTTGATACTTTTTCTACTAAAACTTTGTGAAAGTCAAAGCAGAGCATTTATTAAATAACAAAGTGAGTAATTGAAAGTGCATTGGCAAGCATGAAATGAGAAGTGCTGCATATAAAAATAAATACATAAATCAGAAGTACTTTATATCAGTTGTCTCTTAGAATGCCAACACAGTATTACTTGTTAAAAATACTTTAAATATAAAACAACTTTGATTACCAATGCAATGACTAACTACTACATAATCTGCATGCATAACCTTATAAACACTTATAGGAATAGAATAATTAGAAGGCTAAGAGGCCATTACGGGTCAGCACCCAAACAATAAGGCCATAAATTAATGTACTTAAGCCTTTAACCCTAAGGCAAAAGATTAAGTCCCCAGAACCAAGTAAAGGTACATCATGAACATGAAACTGCATTTTGGGAGATCACAAAATCTGTACTATACATCAAAAACCAATCCTAACAAACTCATATTCCACGTGGCACTCTCCTCATTAAATAAGTCTTTTATTTCATGTAACTTAAAACATAGATTTTGCAAGATTTGAACCTGTAACCTCAAGTCTTCAACTTTAAACAGTAAACTGTTAACCACTATGCTATAATGTTAACTTTTCAAAATAAAATAGAAATACATGAATAAATAACTGTAAAAAAATTGATTATGACATTAGTGAAGTAACCTAGACATTGCTTAGGCCTAAAAATTAGTTGAAACATGATTATAAGGGAATTATTCAGAAAGAAAAGCCAAAAGACAACTAGTAGGTCGCTTGAATGGGATTCATTTTATTTAGCTAGGTAAAAAAAAAAAACCAGTCTATCATAGCTAGCATTCACCAGAAACTCCATGTGAATACAAATTTGAGATAATCAAAACAGAAATACAGCTACAAATACCCACCGTTCAGCAAATTTTTCCATAATACGGTCAATCTTTTGAGCTTCTCCAGGAAGTCTAAATCCATTAAGAAATTCTCTTATCGCAGTACCAAAAGGCATTCCCGAAAAATTCATGGAATCAACGTAAGCATGCATAACAGACAGAGGGAATTCCTCATGTTGGCCTAAGTAATCACCAATCATAGCCTACAAAATGAAGAGCATCATTAACATTCTTAATTCCACACTTATACAGACAATATGTTCAAAAGTGCTAACTATTTTACCTTGTTTAAGTTGGATGTATTTTTCAAAAATTCTGCAACAGAAACAGGTGTATTCTCCACCAGCTTGTTAGATATTAGATACTCCACACCCTTGCTGGGCTGCCTATTGAACTGAAGCAGCAGAAATAAAAAGGCAGACATTAATGATGAACATCATAATATAGACCTTGTTTTAGGTCCCAAAATGTTGTGCCTGTTTCTAATATTTCTATTTTACCATACTACGCCAACTTATTTTTAACTTCCCCATACAAAATACCATACATCCAAAGTATAATTAAATGTCACTATTTACAGTGTGTTTGGATAGATAATTGGGAAGGAAAAAAAGGGAGGGAGGAGAAGGAGTGGGGAGCGGAGGGAAGAATGATGAGTTTTTCTTCCAAATCTCCCCATTGTTGGAGAGATCAATTTCTTACAATTTAATCCCTCCAATTCCCTTCCTTATTTGTTATCCAAATGAAAGATAATACATCCGTTCATTCCCCTTCCCTTCCATTTCCTTCAATCCAAACAAAGTGTTACTTTTTTTACCTTTACTGCATAAAATATCCCGTTTAAGAATATTACGCACTCCCTCTAATACCCTTAATTCCCGTGAAACTTGGGAAATGGGATGGAGGGAGTACATCACTAATAAATCTCATTACCAGAAGTCCAGAACCAGCTTGCATTTTCACATATTCTGCTTACTGGCAAATATTCTTGCCCTCATAAGTTATTGCAAAGATCTATATTAATGCATAACATACGTGAAAAATAAGCCAAAGTCCGTTTAAGATTCTGATTCTTGAGACAGCAACTTACAGACCGATAACCAGTTCTCAGATCTTACCAGGGATATTGCTGCTTCCACGGTGGATTTATGAGCCTTTGCCTTCTCAATATCACTAGAAAAGTCCTCTCTATTTTCTATTCTGACCGAATCTTTGCCAGAAATCTCATCATCAGGGGAATTCCGCTTTTCTGATTCTTTAAGTAACTTCTCCCAATCAACCAACGATTTAATTACATTTACAAGGCACTGCAATGAAAGTAAACCTGAAGGTATGAGACTCCGAAAAACAAAGGAAAGTCAAAACACCTGTTGGCACACCAGATAATCAAGTTCTTCTGTGTAACAAAGCATGTGCAAGATATGGATTCCAAATATTCTTAACAATATAAATGGTAATTAACTGTCCGAAAGACTGCCTCGATTGATAGTTGCAGAGCAACGAAATTTCAAAAGAGTTGCAAAAGGCTGACTTTTCAAAATCACAAATCCCACCAAGTTATTCTTATTTCTTGTTTGTAGAGAAACAATTCTAATCTATGCCCTCCCAAATCAAAGCTTTAATTTGAAGCAGCCTTTTTGGACAATTGATCCTCCCCTATAACTGCAGGAACTTCAGGAGAGGCACTACAATCCCTAAGCTCCATCATGATAATGATCTAAAAGAAGCAAAGCATAGAACCCTGCACAATTTAAATTCCATAAAAGATTTAATCCAAGACAACCTTAATCCCAGTTATAATATTTCAGAAGACAATGATTGAGACATGTCTGCCGCATAGCATAAAAAGAATGGCTGGTCAGACAGGGATAGCATAAAGTTTACCCAATCGTTTAACAAATCAGCCTGCTCCCTGGTCATCATGTTTAACTTAGTATCATTTCCAACATTAATAGCGTAAGGAAAGCATTTTATTTTCATCAGCAATTGGCATAGCTCCAAATTTTTGATACAACGGAAAAGTAAATACTCAATAGCAGAGAAAAGATACATAAATAAAACCAAGAAGATAGACAGCATGGCATAACTTGACAAAAAAAAAAAAAAAAAAAAAAAAAAAAAAAGAGTTGAGCATATAAGGAAATGACAAATGAATCTAAAAAAGCAAATCTGATGCCTTGTAAGAAAATACAAGGGATTACAAAGGTTAGATGGAAAATCAACTTAACCAAGTACAAACTAATTCACCTGCAGTGAAGAGCCCTTGACTGATGCATTTTGAGAAGCAGCAACAGAATTTGGATCTGATGCTTGAATCCCTTGAGATATTTTTGACAAAATTGTGACCTAAATTTAGTAATAAAAATTAGTCAGGAAGAAGGAATGAAGTCAAATGAGCAATAAAAAAAATTACTAACTAAAAAGTAGATCAAAGCTAATACCATGCGTTCAAAAAGGTTTGGTGCATCAAGGTCACAATCATAATTAACATATATGTCCACAAGCATCTGTGGATCCTTGCACACCTTTTCAAGCATCCTACAAAACTCTTCCTTGTGAGACACCCATGGAAATGAGAGCCAGTGCCAATAAGAAAACAATATCATGGATGACAGATGGAATACCAAACAAATTTCACATATAAAGCCCTTACCTAAGTACACTTAACCTCTGGTTAGGTGGACATTCTGCATTATCCAAGTACCTTAGCACTAACAAGGGAAAGAAGATCCCTATCTCACCCTGGAAGAGAAAAGCAAAGAATTCAGGTTGAAAATCATGGAAACGAACACTTTAAGCTGAAGTAATAATAATAGTACCTTAAGACTCTCCCTAAACCGTAACAATAATACCGCAAATATTCCGGCTGCATGCTATCAAACAAACAAAAGACTCGTTAATTTTGGTTAACAGTGATACAACCATTAGCCTCATTTTACTTGCTCATTTGACAATTTTTGTGAGAGCTTTATGATCAAAATGGAGCAAGTAAAATGAGACTAAGAGAGTACTCATAATATCAACATAGGATCAGAAAAAGGCATGTAGATAAACCTGGAAGATAACAGGGGATGGTGAGACACATGCCCGCAACAAAGTATAGGAAAGATATGCTTTCACTGAGTCAATGAAATGGAAGTTTTTAGTAAATGCATGGCTGACACCTTCCAGTAACCCCTGCAACCAAAATTAATACTTAAAACTAAATAATGTGTATAAATGCACAAATACATAGAGAGAGAGAGAGAGAGAGGTTTTAACAGAACAAGATTGAAGACTAATCCAAAAAGATAAAACTACTAGGGTAGGGTATCCCCAAAACACTTCAATTATCTTGAACCACATTCTTGAAGAATATGAAATATACTATTACAAAAATAAAAAATAAATAAAATTAATAAAAAATAAAAAATAAATAAATAAATAAAAATAAAAATAAAAGGGGGAAGAAGAGAAATTCATGAGTTATAAGCTTATAAAAGTACTTAAGTTCAGAATTTTAACAAGAATTAGGATAATAATTAATCTGAATTGTGCAGATATGTTTGTACATGAAACATACAGGCAAAAGTAGTATTAAACCAGGAATGTGTATCGAGAATGTTGTGTCCTCCCACCCATGTCAAATTTTAGGACGGCGCTTCCATGTCTAAAATTTGATCCCTAACGTATACTGACACTTTTTCATGTACCAAAACCAACATAGGCACCTATGTCTGAACATCAAACAATCATCAAAAGCCTTGGATACATCTGACTACAAAGACAATCTTATTGATAAATGATAAGATTGGTATGTTGGCTTTATCTTTTAAAAATGGCCTCTCCGCCTATCCATAGGAGCAAACCTGTGCACACCAATACCTCTCTAGACCACACCAAAGCATTTGGTTTATTGTGGTTGCAGCTTATTGTATTTATAGCAATCGTTAGCTATCTTTGTTGAAGAGGTTTGGTCATATCTTCTGAAGGGGCTACATCAGGATGATTTTAGTGTACTTAGCCTCCTTAAATTCAAGCAATAAAACCAGGTGATATCCCTTGTGAAGATTAAACATAGTTGCAGACAATTTGTATGTTGTAGCTCTTGGAGTCTGATCAGTAGGGGTTGGGCAAAGTTGCAAAGAAAAGCTTTGGGGACAATTAGACAATGGGAACATTAATTTCTAGAAAACACCTTTTCTGCAGTTGTTTTGCCTATTCATTAATATAAGTGATAAGTGATTGATGAAAACTAATTTACTCTCCTAGATACATCCTCTTCGCACTTGATATTGGAGTACCTGTCTTGATAATTAATAAGGGAAAGGGAATTTCAATTCTCACTACATTAACGACCTAGTCAAAATATTCAAGGCCTAGTTCTCAACACAAGCACAAGGTTCTTACCATGTAAAATCTGCAAAATGTCAACTCTAACTATAATTGCAAATATAATGAGGTTTATCATTTAAAACAACATAACATCATGGTCTTTTGTATTGATGGAAAATAAAATATACACTATAGAACAAATTCAACTTTTCATATAGATATTTTTTCCATAATTGCTAGTGTCCCCTGAGCGAAGTATAATACAAAATGTGCACTTTTGAACCAGTATAGAAAAACAAATGGTGATCCCATACCCTTTCCACAATCAGGTAAGTAACACTGCATTGGATTGAACAAGCATCCAAGGAAATCAATGCTTCATATACAGCACCACTTATGCCTCCAATGCCCCTTAAGACAATGGATTCAAATCCAATACATCCACTCATGCAGTAATACAAATTATTATATGCAACTAACTTTTACATTACATAGCCAGCCAAAAAACATCCAAAAACCAGAACATTACTTTTAATTGGTGCGAAATTACAAAACATAGAACTGGAGATTGATAATAACCTGCAGAAGCTCTAGGGACAAAATGCGTGTCTTTGTAGCAATTACATCATTGTCTTCCTTCATACCCATCTGAAGACAGCTATAAAATTAGTGACTAACCTGGGAATATGCAGAATTCAAAACAGTTTGTAAAATACAAACCTTACAAAGGGTGCGGAATAGCAAAAGGGCATCACGATGCCCAATACTCATGCTCTCGAGATCCATACCACTTTTGCATTAAAAGAATGGCATCAGGTTACCATCACAAAATAATTCTTAGCAAATTAAACAAACATAACTTCAACAGAAAAATAGCTCAGAGCTGCATACTGTTTTGTCTTATTCCCATCTTCAAGATGCACTGCCTTGTCAAGCATAGCCTCTAAACCCTATAAAACCAATACAACTTCAGTTAATATCCAGAAAGTGTGAACAACAGATCCTCTGTATATGGTACAATATGTCCTCTAAAGGAGAGGACAGCAAGATAATAATTTAAGATAAGCTACAAGAAGTGAAATATGTCATGATTTTTCCAGTAACCACCTTTATATCAGCACCACCAGCAAGATTTTGGAGTTCCTCAACAGATGCAATAGATTCGTCTTTAACTGGATTTTGAGAAAGTGCATCTCCTAGTGTCATCTCTTTCTCACTTTGGTCATCCACAGAGCAGGCTTCTCCACTTTTTTGTGAACTGCTAGTAGATTTATCTTCTGAATGTGTATCAGAAGAGGTTGGACTACGATCTTGAATCTCCTTAGAGACATTATTGATACTCTGAATTTTTTTAAAATAACATAATTATTGTGCTCCCGTATTCACTTCAAGAATAAACAAACAAAAGTAGATCAATATCATTTTTCTTACCGAATCAGACTCCATTCTACGAAATATGATGTTGATCATTTGGGTCAACATTGCCTTTGACGTTGCTTGATTAACAGGGCTTTTGCTGCCATCACAGTAGTTTCATGTCATCTCCAAATTAATATAAAAGCTTATGTGTGAACAAAATATGTAGGCTAGCAGCTGAGTAGTCAGAAGCTATTTTAACAAAAGTTACAAACTCCACCAGGAGATAAGACCGACAAGTATTTTCACTAGCTAAATTTATGGCACTGTACATAAGATAACACTTCAATACCCATATTCACAATTTTTTTATCTTTCTTACGGCTTTTATATGAAGGCAAAGTTCCAAATTGGATGAAAGATTTTGTTTGATATGCTAGTTTGGGGAAACAAACAAGGCTTTTTCTAGTGAGGAGACAGGGAATCAAAATATGCATTGTCATCAGGTGATGTTTCTGTGAAAGAGATTGTTGAGTGATTTGAGTTTGTTAGGCATTCATTAGGCTGCTCCACTTACTGACATGATGTTATATGTCGCTACAAATTAAGTATATGAAATATAGATGGTGGATAGGGCATTAAAGTTTGTGGCAGGCTGCTTCCTTTGCTACTCTGAGGACTGAGGATGCTTTGGTTTGGGAGAAACAACAGGATTTTTCATGGTCAGCAGTTTTCTATAGTTTCAAGTTCAAGGGGGTTTGAATGAAGTAATTAGCTTCGCTTAGGGCTCATGTTCATGGGTGTTCCCTTGTGTGCCTCTATCCAATGTAATGCAAACAATCTGCCACCCAGTGAGAGTGCCAATGGGCATAGCATCCAAGGATTGAAGGCCGGTACAGATGGTTCGTTTATTACTCCTCAATGTCTCTCTTGCTAAACCATAAAAAAAAAAAAAAAAAAAAATAAATTAATTAATGCTACATGTGTGTGATTTCCTCTTTTCTTCCTCACTGCCTAAATACATTAAAATTTAAAACCAATATTTCAAAGTGATAAAATTACCTGTTCAGAGCAATATTGTAACAAACTCTAATAACTCCCAGCAATGATTCCCCATGCACTGCATATGATGCAAATATTAGCAGACTAGGATGGATCATCAAGAAAGAGATAGGATAGTTTTGCCAAGCATCCTAGGTTTTAGAGGAATGACACCAAATGACCAAGACATAATACTAAACATTAAACACATAAAACTAAACCCCTTTAAGTTTTATAGGTAATCACGCTAGTCCATAGTATTTATACATCAAGAAAAATCAATGGGAACAAAGAACAAATGCCAATGCCAAACCGAATAAAATTGATACATTTGACACCTATTCCTCATCTTTTATTGTACTCCCTCCACTTTTCTTAGTTCTACTCATTTACTGTAGTTATGCAAACCAAGGACAAGTGGAAGTGGGGACCATGCATGAGGGTACTTTTGCTATAAAGAAAAGAGAGATGGAGAGTAAGAAAATTGGGCTCCACAAAGTAGGGTTTTATATGATAAAAAATGAATAAAAGGTTGTTATAAAAGGAATAAAGTAAAAGTGGGTAGAAAATGGATGAAAACAGAAAGTGAGTAGAACTTCGGAAATGGAGGAAGTACAATACTTTTACCATTAGAGAGAGAGAGGAGAGGTCATTGCATTTTCACTCTCCTCCTCTATAGCTCCCAATACTGAAAAAGAAAAATGCAAGTAGAAAGATTTTCTAACTTGCACTAAGCTACTGTCTAAACAATGGTATTCAACTCTTACCCTTAAGCCTTAGGAAATTAAAGTATTTTGAAGAGTGCTCACTATACAGAATCAAATATTGGATTACTGATTATAACTTAATCAAGCTCTCTAGAGTAATATTCGAGATTGAGTTGATTTATCAATATAGTTTTCACAAACTGCATCTTTCCACATTTTCATTGAAAGACATACATTTGAACTGGAAATTTCTAAAGCATTAATTCTTTGTTTCTCATGTAGGGATTTCTACTCTTACCCCTGTACATTTTTGTCTCTAACTAATGTAATCTAATTGTTTAGCCAGTAGAAAAACAAAGAACTTGCTATACAAGACTCAAGCTAAATGCTCATACCTCTAAACTTTGCAGATGCTACAGCTGTCAAGAGCACTTTCAATACTTGCAAAACAGTACTGCAAATACAGAGAAACCAAGTTAAGAAATCGTATTCACTTCAGAAAAACAAGTATAACTAAATGTAAATGTTGCAAATTTTACATGCCTGTCTAAGGATGAATTATCAACGCAACTGCAAACTATGTTTAGGATTTCGGCAAACAGAGGCGCATTTTTTCCACCATCTATACCAGGATCACCCTCCAAATGGTCATAGGCAATAAGTTTCTGCTCCAAAATGAATTAAGTAAGCAATGATATTGGCAAAATAAAAATCATTAGTAAATGATTTTTAACAAAGACTTAGAAGAGTTATCAAACTTTATATGAAAAAAACTTAAACATACAACAAAAGTTTTAGCAAAGGGCTAATCCAGAAGCCAAAACCATGGGAACAATTAAGTTGGCTCAGTAAGTGAAATTCGAAAATAGGATACATACATGAAGACAATCTAATGCCAATTCTACAACTTTTATATTTTTTGTCTCAAACGCAAGTCGAAGTGGGTTTAGAACAAGCTCAGCTTCAGCTCCTTCTAAAGTCTGTCCTGTATTGGACAAGGCTGTTGCAATTGAAATATTCATCCGTGCTGATGTCTCAGCTTGTTGTTCCCCCTCAGAAGTTTGTCCATGAGATTCATCAGGCTTCACATTTTCAATGTCAACACCTTCGTCAGAACCATGTTCACTGCACGGAGATGAATAGATATATATAAAAAATAAAAATAAAAAAAAACATTAGCAATGCAATAGGAATCGAATATTAAAGATAGCACTTAACCTGACTGAATTCAGCAGCGAGTATATTCCTAAAAGGTCAATACTAGAAAAGGCAAATAGTTACATCCTGTCAGGCTCAAATTAGTTCAAAGTGTCTTCTCCACCCCAAGGCCCCAGCCTCAAATTAGGAAGAAATTATTATTGGAAAGAATATAGTATCCACCACTACGAAATAATGAACCAAAAAAAAAAGTTGTTTCACGGCCCATGATGAAGAAACAATATTATACTCAACAGTCGAGAGTTTTAGACAGCCTTTCACATTAGCATAAGATGGTTTAAACTACAGATTTCAGTCATTTATTTTTTCATAACAATCTTGATCAAATAAGAACAATCAGTTAGTAAGGTACCATATGTCCAAATCTTTGCAGTGACCCTAAAATGATGGGTGCCAACAAAATTTTGTGTGTTTGAAAAGCATGGAGAGGTTTCATGGTAAAAACGCTAAAGATGTGGTAGGTTGACACCAATAATCAGATAAAGTGCAAGAAACCAATGGGAAGTACCATTATTAGTCAACTTTCACTTCTCAATTCAAAAAGAAAATACTCTTATGGATTTACTTCCATGTAAAGGGAGCGTCATTTTTTCATTCACTAGAAAACCCATAGTCATTTCCGCACCCACAAGAGAATTTCATGTCACTTGCTTGCTCAACTAGAATCACCTGATCACTAGTTCACTACGACATAGCTTCCGTAAAATATTTTGCATAACAATTTTTTTACTCTCATATTACAAAGTACATTGTTCAAAGAGACCACAGTTTTCACCACATTGTTCTCAGCCAAGGTTATGGCTCAATGCTAGAAGTAAAACTCTTAAGTTTCACTAGTGAGCTACATTACTTCACTAATCTATTATCACAATTATAGCATGAACAGCATCCCCAATGCCAGCAATATCCAAATCAACAAGTCAAAAATCCAACCTAATTTACAAAAAATGAAGTTGATTTGCCAACAATCATGCTTTCCAATTCATCAATATAATTGAATCTTTCAAAGATCAAACAATAACACAAAATCCCAATATAGATCTAACCTCTTCGGAGCTTCGGCCGCGGCTGGCGCTGGCACTGATTGAGCCTTCTCCTCCACATGGGTTTGCTGATTCCCTTCTTTAATCCCATCTACAAACACATCAAAACCCAACATTCATATCATCAATAAAATCAAAAATCAACCAAAACCCACTAAAATTTAGCTAAAAAACACCAACCCAGATAAGATTGAATTGCAGATTGAAGTGAAGTAAGCTTTTTGGCTGAACATTCCTTGAGCATAGACTCAAATGCCCGAGTCACAAACCCACCCGCAGCACCCGCCATTAAAGGCAGCTGCGCAATTCAAAGATGGGTTGATTGATCTTCTTCCTTCTTAATTTCTTCCAAAAAAATTGGGATGAAATGAAATTAGGGGAAACCCCCAGTTGAGATCAAAGGGTCAAAGAATCAAAAATGGAAGATCCGAGAAAAATGGGGTTTGAAGAATTTGAATGCGGTGGTTTTTTGGGTGGTATCCGGTGAAATTCGCCGTGGTATGGTGATGGGATTGAAGAAAGTCGTGAGTATGAATGAAGATTCAAAGAGTGAGGAGAGAGAGAAATGGAGGTAATAGAGCTTAATTTTAGATTTAGTTGCAGATCAACTTTTTGAAAGAAAAACTAAAAATATTTTCAGAGCATTTTTTTTTTTTTTTTTTTTTATGACAAATTTTTAGAGCAACTTAGGTCATTGTTCTTTTGAGCTGCTATGCTGAAATATACTCTGTTTCGCTCTGCTCTATTCTGCTTAAAAATAATAATTAATATTTAATAAAAATAATAATAATAATAATAATAATTAATATTTAATAATAATAACTAATATTTTATATTTTATATTATTTACAACATTTTCTAATGCTATTAAAAGAGTGAAAAAATCTAAAAAAAATCAAATAATAATAATAATAATAGTAATAGTAATAATAATAAAATATGATAACAATAATAAATAATTAATGATAATAATGCGATAATAATAACAATAATAATACTAATAATAACAATCATAATAATAATAATAGTAATAATAATAAAATATGATAATAATAAATAATTAATGATAATAATGCGATAATAATAACAGTAATAATACTAATAACAATAATAATAATAATAATAATAATAATGCGATTAATAATAATAATAATAATAATAATAATAATAATGCGATAATAATAATAATAATAATAATAATAATAATAATAATAATAATGCAATAACAATAATAATAATGATGATGATGATGAAATCTGCTCTGCCCTACTCTGCTGAAATCTGCTCTGTTTTGCTGAAATTTGCTCTGCTCTGCTCTGCAAAGAACCTCAAAAGAACAGGGCCTTAGCATTCACATAATCGCACTTTGCTTTATTTTTTCTTTTTTCCCAATTTCAGGCAAGTGCAAGTATAAACGTCGAATTTCCTCAAACAAAAAAATATATAAACGTCGAATGTATCAGGAAAGTATTAGAATACCACAAATTTTTAAATGTGGGTGGCAGGCACCAAGGTTACTTATTTAGGAGTTACTCGGTTGATAAGGGTTACTTATTTTAGGGTTACTTATTTTAGAGTTACTCAGTCGGTCAGCCCCCCACAGAAAACACTCTAACTGATTGGGTAAACCAGAATAAGTAACCCTTAACAGACGGAATAACCCCTAAATAAGTAATTCCAGCAAAAATACGCTAACCGACTCAGTAACCCCAAAATAAATAACCTTGACCGACTGAGTAACCCCACAAATAAGTATCCCCGGCAGAGAAAAAACACCGTTAAAATACAGGTTTGACCATCTACTCTCTATGTATTTTTTTTAGTGAAACGTTTTTTCTGTGCACATATCCCTCCCTACCTTATATTACTCTTATAAATAGCGTGCTACCAATTATACCCTTCAAAATGTGTGACATGTTTACCCTTATTAATATGTACTACATACAAGATTATTACTTTACCGTCAATTATACCCTTTAAAATGTGTATTTACATGTTTACCCTCATTAATATGTACTACAAGTTTTTTTTTTGCCTTTATTAATATTAATTGCCTTTAAAAATATTAAAAAAAATATTTACAATAGTATACGGACATTTATACTCCTAAATTTTTATTTACATATGTTCTCCCATTAATGTAGTCAACCACTGAAAAAACCTCCCCAAACATGGCTAGCCATGGCGCACACATCGCGTGCTTTAGCTGCCCTAATTAATACAAAACTTTGACTACTAATTTCTTTAGGCCCTGTTCACCTCACCTTACAAAAATAATCTCAGTAAAAAATAATCTCTGTTCAATATAAATAATTTTTATTCAGTAAAAATAAGTTTAGCCGAGTAAAAATAACTTCATTTTAATATAAATCAGTAACTTTAAAGAAAAAATATAATAGAGAATCAATAAATATAATTTGAGCTCTGGAAAGATAATTCTAGTTCAATAAAATTGATTTTAGTTCAGTAAAAATAATTTAAATTCAACAAAAATAATTTTAGTTCAATAAAAATAATCTATGTTCAGCAAAAAATAAGGTGAAATGAACATGGCCTAATTATCAATATTAAAAAATTTATAACAATTAAATATTAATAACTTATTCATTGATATGATTCCAACAAGTACTCACAAAATTATATTTTTTTATATATGTAAATAATTAACATTAGTCAAAGTAGATTAAGTGAAGAAAAAAATAAAGGAAAATTGTTCTGTGTATCCCTAAGGTTTAGAAAATTGCACTGCGTACCCTTAAAAACTTTCAAATGCATCGTGTATAGGGCTGTATAGAGTGCGGTTTGCGGTTTGAAAATTGCGGTGTGGTTTGAAAATGACCAAACCGTGGTTTGCAGTTTGGTGCGGTTTCCAAAAATATTTAGCTCAAACCGCACTTTAATGCGGTTTGCTATTTTTATACTATATTTTTATAAAAAAAAATATGGTTTGCAGTTTGGTGCGGTTTCCAAAAATATTTAGCTCAAACCGCACTTTAATGCGGTTTGCTATTTTTATACTATATTTTTATTAAAAAAATATAAAAGAACTAAAATATATGAGCTAATCTTTGACAATTAGTTATTTAAAGGTTAAAAAAAAAGTTTAATATTTGAATTATAAATTAATGATTACAAAATAAAATAAAAGTTTTGTTTTTTAAAAAATAATTGTAATTTTTAGAAAATATGGTTAAACCGCAAACCACACTGCACCAAACTGCATATTGCGGTGCGGTTTGGTGCGTTTTTTTTAGAATTGCGGTTCAAAAAAATTCTAAACCGCACCGCGAACACCCCTAACTAAGTACCCTAGAGATTTGTAATAAAAAAAAATGTACCAAATACCCCTAGACTCATAACAAATGTTAATTTTGTTACATTGAAACCCCTTAAGAATCAAATTCTATTAAATTATTGTAGTGTAATGCTACTTTAATGCTAAAACATTTAATTATCAAGTAAACTTAACTAATAAATTAAATTCTAGCACCTAAGAGTTTAGGATTTAGAATGATGGATGGAGTTCAAATTTTGATGTAATTTATGCTTTTAGGCGGTTTTACAACATAAACATAAAGTACTAAAAGGGAGTTAGTGTGTGGGCATGATTTTAGTTGATAAGTCAATGATGTGTATTTGAATATTGATTAGGGAATTTAATGCATTTATTTATATACATTAGGGATATATGGTGTATTTGAAATTTTTAGAAGTACATGGTGTATTTTTTAAAAACTTAGAAATGGTCACATTATAATTAGCTACACACGGTTGACAGACTTGACACAAGACTTAGGCCCTGTTCTTTTGAGTTTCTTAGTAGAGCATAGAAGAGCAGGGGTGAGCAGAGCAGAGCAGAGCAGAGCAAAGTAGATTTCAGCAGAGTAGAGTAGATTTCAGCAATATTATTATTAATATTAATAATATTATTATAATTGCATACCATTGATTTAGGTGAATTAAAACATAAATAGATGTGTACCATTTTAACATATGTTAATAGTAGAAAGATAAAAGACAATAGTTTAACATTTTCAAATTATTACAACCACATATCAAAATATGAACATAATTAGATAAGAGTTTAACATCGTGGTGAATTAACCATCTACTTCCATATGATCTTCATATTCATAATCTTCATTGTCGCTTTGATCTTCATTATCATCATCTTCATTGTCTCTTTCCGATTGATTACCCCTCCAAATTCGGCGTGCTATACGATGTCGCACTTTGGCCATACTATCTTTGCGCCATTGTGCAAACATAGTTGAATCTGCTACTCCTATATTCGCATCCGAATAAAATAATATTTTAGTATTATTATAAAATATGAAGTATTATTATTCCCTCAGGAAAAAATATTATGTGTTATTATTAAGATCAATATATATTTAGAAATTGTTATAAATTATTATTAATTAATATTGTTATATATACTACCTCCGTTTTTTTTATGTGCAACTTTTGCCATTTTAGTCCGTTCACTATTATGTGCAACTTTCTATTTTCTTTCTATTTTTAGTAAACAAAAACCCTGAAAATTACAAATTTACCCTTACTTAAAAATTCAGATTTTCTTAATGTTACCCTTATCTTATTTTAATCACAATAACTTTTTTGTCTAATCTAAAATCATTAACCTAATTTTACCCACCCATTTACTCATCTCTCTACCCACCGGCCACCACCCATTCACCCTCTTCATCTTTGCTCTTCATCTCTTTCACCTTCACCCTCTTCATCTCTTTCACCCTCCTCCCTCAAGAGTCACGACCACCGCCCCTCCCACCACCATTCTCTCTCCTCCTTCATCATCCTTCAATATCCTCTCAAACACCTTCACCAACGCCGCCTGCGCAATCAACCCTTCTTCCCTCTCCTCCCCAGAATTAGGGTTAGGGTTTTTCGAATCGGCGATGATGTGAATTACCCTTTCATCACAGCGCGAAAAGGGAGGAAGATCATCAACAATGCGAATTCGAGCACCGGTATCATCCCTAAGTTGGCGGACTACGGCGCCGCCTTTTTCGATGACACCGCCGACTTTTGCAAACCTCCTTCTCAGATGAATCATCGGCGAAGAAATCCGTCTCTTTCGCAACGAAATCAATGGCAGATTGGAGAAACCCTAGCGGATTCGAAGGATCGAGAATTGTAGAATACGGCTTCGGAGTAGGCGGTGGTTGTTGAGGTAGTTCTTGAGGTTTGTGCTCTTGTTCGACGTAATCTGGATGAGAATGGTGCCTTTTTCGATGACACCGCCGACTTTGGCGGAGGGACAGAGGAGTCGGAATTGGGTTTCGCCGCCATTTTTGGAGGGTATGAATTGTTGAGAAGGTGGAGTAGAAGAATAAGATGATAATGGTGGGTTAGAGAGAGAATGAGAATGGTGGCGTTTGAAAGAGAATTGAGGTTCCATTGTTGAAGAAGGAGTTTTGGTGGCCGGAAAAAGGAGGAAAAGACGTGAGGGTGGTGGTGGTGGTTTTGTGGGGTTGGTTGTGGTGGTTTCGTGGGGGTGGTAGTGGTGGTGGTGAAGCCGACGGTGGTTTTGGTGAAGGCGGCGGTGGTGGTGGCTGGTCTTGGTGGTGGTGGCTGGTTTGATTAATTAACCAAACATTCTCTCTCCACCTTAATTACATACTCCTATAATATATTAATCACCATTATACTTTCTTAATCTTTGCCCTTCAATCTTTTGCCTCGTGAACCGCAACTTGTGCCAAAGTTGCACATAAAAAAAACGGAGGTAGTATTAATAATTTTTATTGTAAATTATTAATTATTATTATTATTATTATTAAATATTAATTATTATTATTAAATATTAATTATTATTATTAAATATTAATTATTATTATTATTAAGTATTAATTATAAATTACTATTATTATTATTATTATTATTAATTTTTTATTTTAAAGATATTATATATTACTATTTTTAATCCAGAGTAGAGTAGAGCAGAGTAGCTCTAAAGAACAGGGCCTTAGCGATTTTCCTCAGTGGGGGCATTATAAAATAAAAAAAAAAGGTTTTTCTATATAGTGCCCTTGTGTAACTGACTTTTTCAAGTTGTGTCCACTGTTTTTTCATATTACACATGGTACCCGTTAGTTACAATTTTTTTAACACACCATATCCTTGCCGTTAAACTGTCATTATGTAGTTTCATTAATTAATTTTTTTCTCGTTTTGCGTGTCGAAAAAGGTTTCGTTATAGTTTTAGGGGTTGATTTAGTCCTTTGGGATCCAAATTGAGCTCGGAATTGGCAAAAAAACGATGTAAGTGCCTCGTTTTACGTGCTATTAATTTTTTTCCGTGCCTTGTTTTGCATGTCATAAAATATATCGATTAGCGCGTCATAAAATGTATCGATTTGTGTGTCATAAAACTAATGAACTACTTAATGTCAGGTTAATGACAAGGACATGGTGTGTTAAAAAATTGTTTCTGACGGATACCATGTGTACTCCTTCTGTTCCAGAATACATGACACTGTTGGGTTTCATAGTGTCCGACACTATGCAGAATGAAACCCTCCCAGAATCCGCACACAAATTAAAGTAACTAAACATGCATATTAATTAATTAACAATCACATATTTAATTAACAAGGAGAGAGAGAAGAAAAGACGATCTTACCCTTGACGAGTGCTTCGCTCTTTCTAAGAGCTCGTACTAGCGTTAAGCTTCGCAAATGCGTAAGCCTCCAACGGCTCTCACCCTCGAGACCCGACCCGAACAATCCCTACCCCGAAGCTTTGTCAGGGCTAGACCAAGAAAAATTAGAGTATTAGAATTAAGGTATTCTCTTCTTGGAGATCCCTTAAAATTCACAACTCAAGTGTCCCTTCCCAATCCCAAATGATGGGTTTTTATAGGGAAGGGAGCCTTGAATTCCAATCTCCCATCAATGTGGGAGAGTTGGTAAGAATGCACTTTATTCAATTTATTTTAATTCAAAAATCAAATTGAAAATGCAAGTAAATCAACAAACGCCAAGTGTCAAGAGGTGAGAAAGGGGGTTAGGTGAGGACCACAAGGGGGAGGGGGACCAGACTCCCCTTGCTCCCCAAGCAATCCACCAAAAATCGGGTGCCCGCCATGTATGAGCTGGCCACGCACATGCTGGCTGGCAGCATGCTTTGGCTGCCTAGCATCATGGCTGGGCCTGCCAGCCAGCCCGCACAAGCCTACACACAGCCAGCAGACCACGTACGCCATGCGGGTTGTTGCTGCTGCATTGCTTATGCTTGTGCTAGGCGCTGCCCAACACGCAAGCACGCATAGCCCATAGCACAAGCACGCATAGCGTGCTGCTGTTGCTGATGCGATGCTCGGGTTAAGCGCAACCTAGCTGCTGCGTTGCTTGCGGCTGGGTGCGAGGCCCAGCACACTAACACGCATGGCGGGCCAGTTGCTAGCATGTGAGCGGCTAGGTGCACCAGCCCCGCAAGCATGCTCGGCCAGCAAGCCTAGCACGCACACAAATGCTTGGCTTGCGGCATAGCCATGCGATGCGGTTGGTGCCCTATGCTAGCCTAGCCTTCGCATAGCTAGACCAATGCAAAGCTACGGCTTAGCTTGAACTTGTCGTTTGCTTGATCTCGTCTCGTCAAATTCTAAATTCAACTCGACTTACGACGCTCGGTTTCGACGCTCCAAGCTCGATAACCGACGTCTTTGTACGTAATACTCTAATGACTCATCTAATCGTTCGGATTGATTCGTGGCCTCGGATCGGTTACTCGATTGGGGTGTGACCCGAAGGGTTTAGTCAAGATTAAGCTGTAATATTAATTATACATTAATATTACTGATCGGAAGCGGCCTCTTGCTAGGCATTCCGATCACTTGGCCTCACTGAATAATTAGCTTTCTTATCGGAATAATACACTTGTTCGAAGGACACCATTCCTTTCAGACACAGTTAACATGGCACACATGTCAATGCACTAGTTTGACTTTATTTTTATATAATTAAATATTAATGAAAATTATTTTAAAAATTATACTTACCTCCGTTTTTTGTAAGTTGACATGTATTCCTTTTTAGGAAGATTTTTTTTAGTTGACACGTTTTCTTTTGGGATAATTTATTTACTTTGCATTTACTAACTACCCCACTTGCTTTATCATTCTCTCTTACTCTCTTTCCTCTCCTTAATATGTGTGCCTAAATTGAATGCGTCAACTAAATAGAAACGGAGGAAGTATTATGAAACTTTATATTAATACATATCTAACAACAACATAATTTATAATAAATATGTTTTTATTATGTGTTTATGGTAGTAAAAAATTATGGTTAAAGACTCAAAACTAACGTATGAATAGTGGAAAAAAGTCTAACACCTCATGTATCGTGGGATGGAGGGAATAATAATATGGAAATACAGGGCACAACTTAAGTTAGTTACACAAGGGCAATGTGTAAAAAAACCCAAAAAAAAAAAAAGATTATTTGGTTTTTTTTCCTCGTCGTTTTAACTTGATCAAATCAAATAAATTAATCCATCGATTCCGGAGGCTGTAGCAAGCTCAACTAATTCTTTTACACCAGTCTTCCACCCAACAAAATCACAGCTCTATACAAAGATTTCAAAATTTCTTGAGTTTGATAACCAAAAACTAAGTCAAGAATCAAAAACCCAAGGTTTGATTTATTACCCTTTTCGTTTGCTCAGTTCATTAATCATAACTATCATTGATTTGATCATGGATTTATTTTCCTTTTATGTTTGATTTACAGTATGCTCAATAATTGGTTTAGTTATTAGCTTGCTTCTATTTTTTATACCCTAGGAAATTAAATTATTGTCAAAATTTCTAGATTACCTGATACCATCTGATTTTAATTTATATATATTTTGTATTTTTTGTCCTCAATATGATTATTTATTTGGCAATTATCATATGATGATGCTCTTCCATGGAAAAGATGGAATATATATGAACTGGGTCTCATGCCACTAGCTTAAGTTTTGATTGAGTTGGTTTTTGAGGAATTAACAAGTAACAAGTCTATTATGATATCAAATCTTAGGGGGTCTTAATGAACTAAATATTTAGGCTAATATATGGGGAGGTTATGTGCAAATGTGCACGGTCTAGGCTTCAAAATTCAAACCCAATAAGCATTCGTGTGAAGGAGCGTATTTAAGATAAACCGTATGTTGAGCTTCCGGTCAGCCAGTTGCTTATGATTTTGGCGGAGTTGGTTCTCTCGCGAATACAGATGCATCTCCAAAGTTATATGACATTAACTATGGGGGAAAAGGAGGGTTTGTTTCTGTATGAATTGTATCCCCTTTTGATTGTTGCCAAATTACTTGAGAACACAAGCCTTCTAGTGTACTATTGTAACTACAAATAAGAAAACACAATGCTAAAGTGTATGCAATGAACCGCATCTGTCGGTGTGTGTCAGGTAAGAAGTAAACTACCTAAGTGGCCTTTAAAAGAGCTTTGTAATTGATTATTACATTTCTTCTTAGAATTTTCTGCATTGCATTGATTTGCATTGTGACTTTAAGCAATTTTTATGAAATTTAGGAAGGCTTTTGTGGAATGCCTTTAATAGGAAATGGGATGATTTCCCAGGGTCGGGAGTGATTTGATCCGTCTTACTGTTTTGTCTGTTTACATCTGTTTTTATGCAAAATTTTAATAAGATAAAGGAAGTACAAACTAATGTTACTTAACTCACTCATTATCCTTGCAAACCACAATCTTAAACCGTTGGATTAATTTGTGGTACTAGTTTGACAAATTAGGTTCCCTTGCCAGTTAAATGTAATGGAACATTTTGTGTCATAAGTAAACAATATTTAAAATTTAATCTGCTGTTTATTTGGTCGTCAATGCTCATCAAATTTTCTTTGTCCTTGTTGACCTTTTGTCCTCAGGATACGGCAGCAATGGTGACCAGAAAGTTCTTTGTAGCCTCGATATGCATGTGGGCATTTCCATTTGCAATCTTATACGGCTTTCAGCAAGGCTGGTACCCTGGTAAGTCCTTTTATCTCTAAGTTCACTTGTAGATAAGACCCAGTAACTCTGTCAAATTCGTTATGAAGTTGATAGTTATGCTAGTTGCCTTTCAATTTGGAAAGTTTTTGGTTATGCTTAAATAAAAACTATTCATATCGCTCTGTGATTTGTCTACTCATACTAGGATCCGAGCCATGCTGCAATACCATTTGACTTTCAGGGATCTTACTCTAGTTACATTAGGCACTTGCAAAAACAGGGCTAGCCCTTAAAGATGCCATTTTTAAAAAATCCACACCTGCATTTAATGATTATATGATGGTCAAAGTTTTTCATGGGATGATGAGTGTATTCCAACAATTGATTGTCTCAGTCATGGAGAATAGAGTTTGGGTCACAATACTTGGCACTTGGCAGTGAAGGTTGATAAGATGGTGAAAATCATTATATTTGATGATGATTTCTCTCCCTTATAGTGCAAGTCATCATGTTAGAAGAATTGGACCACAATTAGAAGCTGAGGATGAAATTGCCTTACAATAATGAACCAGATGCCCAGATTATAGAAATTTTGTGAGCACTGGCTGGTTCACTCACTAGACTAACTTTTGATTAGTGGTCAGAAATTTGCAACTTAAGGTTTTCAAAGGATTCATTATTTTGTCTTGGAAAAATCTAAAGGACCTTTGTGATTTGAAGGAGGTTGGTTGAAAGATGGTTTCTCAGCTTGAATTTCAGTTGTTGCTAGTCCCCTTCTCATTAACATAATCAGCTCCATAAGTCATCAACACTATGTAGGAGGCGAGGAGATCATGGTAGGGTTGGCCCATCAAGTATTTGGTTGTACTCTTGCCAACTTGGATATGTAGGATCTGTGCCCCAATGATACTAAATTCTCAGAACCTTAACCCCAACATGAAGGGATACGACATACGGTCATGCATCAACTACTTTCATTCTAAAAGAGGTGGTTTCATGGAGAACTTTAAGTAGTGGATTTAGTCAACCCCCTTTTCCTCTCACTCTTTCTCAGTGTACCACATGTTCATTGGTCATTTGTGTGAAGATGACATGAACTCTGGGGGTTACTAAAATTTCTCTTCACCTTTCTCCACATAGATAACTAAACATGTGATGACTTTTAGTGACATTATATTAGGGAGATGCCTTCATTGTACTTGCATGAGGCCTTTTCGATGTCATTAGCTGATGTGGACAAACTCCAGTTGTTTCTAAGGAAATTTACAATCACCATTGCTAATGCTACTGTATTGTAAAGGGCATATCTCTTGGTGAAGGACCCATGTTATGGTGGTAGGAAGTTAAGTACCCTTCAACATGCTCTGTATTCATGCCTTCATGGTTATCTAGTGAGAAAACATGTAATCTTGCTCTTTTTACTCTAATGTCTCCCCACTATCGTAGTATGGCAAGTAACAATCATCACGAAAGCGCTCCGTGTGTATGAGTAACTTTATTATTTATTAAAGATAAGTTAAAATGGAAGTTCTCCATTCATGGTCCTTCGTGTGAGAAAAATGGATACTTTGCTCTGCTCATCTTAAACTCAATTAAAGACCCTGCTTTTCTTCCCTCTTCCAGGATCATACTTTTAGGCTGAAAAGTTGATTGAGTATCAGACATTTATGTCATTCAATTTTTAATGGATTGCCTTCAGCATGTAGTTTCTTGGGAAGTGGAGTAACATATTTCATCTTTTCTGATTCTAGATTTCTAGTTGACGTAGTGGAATTAAGGTTGTAATGATGTTAGCAAAAAAGAATTTAATTATATTATCAGTCCATATTCTACTCTCCAGTTTCTTCTTTATTATCTGGGGACTACAGGGTAATTTCAGTATATGCATACCCTTGTCATCTACAAGAATGTTTTATTGGTTATAAACATGAAACTTTCTTTTGTACAACATTTGCTAATTCAAAAGGCAACGATGGACTTTTGGACAGCGATTTACCATATTTTGTCACCTAATTGTCGTGTTCACAGAATCGAGGCCTGTTATTGCTCTTAATGCTTGACATTAGTATTTGAAGCTGCTTTTGCTTAACTGTTTTTATTCCTACTGTTTATTTTGCTCACACCCTTACATCCTGAGTGTGGATTATAAGATTTCTGGAATATTGCAGCACCTTTGTGGCTTTTTGACAGTCACTTACCTATTTTTCCTGTTCTTAGGATCGAGACCAATTACTACTCCTAATGCTTAACATTAGGATTTAAGCTACTTCTGCTATGCTGTTTTCATTTCAACTGTTTAATTTGTTTTAATTATCTTGTGTTAGATATACAAAATCACAACTCATACTTTTAACCATCATTACCTCTGCTAATGCTTATTTATGCATAAATTTCAGGTTTCTCAAACATATCACCTTCTTCTCAGACACTGCTAAGTGGGTTTCTTGCTGTTGTATCAGTAAATATAATGCTTGCATTTTACATATGCATGGCAATGAAAGAGCCTATTGGTAAGCACGAGCCAGATCCTGCTTTTGTAGCCAAGGCTAAGGTTACAGTTAGCCAAAGTAAACCCAGTGGTGGTGCTAAACTGGACTAGGCATGTTCATACAGCCTGAAAAGGACCTCAGACTGCAAAGTGGGAGCACGAGTAAGATCTAAACAGTCCAAAGCGTTGATATTTTAGGAAAATTTTGACAGCCTGTAATGAATGCTATTTGAACTATTTCTCTCAGTGGTAATTTGGTAGAAATAGAAGTCTTTGATTTTCTTAAGCAAAATTTACTCTCTTTGGTTTATAATAATTGTCTTACCCATTCGAATGGGCTAAAATACTGCTGCCCATCTACTTAATGTAGTAGAGCTTTTATTTATCTATTCTTTTATTAATTTTGAGAGGTTTGTAGTTAACTTTCTCCTATTTCCTATTCTGTTTATCCTTGCCATAATGGAGCTAGTAAGTTTCCTTACAACTACAAGCCTCGTTAATCTGCACTGTACGTGAACTGTTTCACACATCTTAGTGCAATAGTTCAAGACATACATCTCAGTTGTAATTTGGTAGAATGACTGCAGGATTATAAGAGTTCAGCACACAGATGAAGTAAGGATAGAGATCATGAACAATGGTAGAAAACTTTAGCTCCATACATTTACATAGTTTTATCACATAAAATTGCCCTACATAAACTGTATCAAACTGATCATGAACAATGGGAGAAAACATTTTCCCACCCCATACATTACAAAATTTCGTTACATGAAACTAACCTACTACACTATCAAAACTTCATAATATCTACTGATTAACCCCATTCCTTCCTTTCTATAACAAAAACCGTTAAACGTATTAATATAGCCCTTCCTGCAACTCACTGCTAAATTGTGGACTCTTCAAATTGCTCTGCAATAACCTTCAAATTGCAGCACCAACCTGGAAGCCTACTCCTAATTTCTGAAAATCCTGCAGTGCCCACTGAATAGCAGTTTTTAAGCACAAACCTTTATCAAGGTATAGGACGGACAAGGAGACTGTCGAATATATGAGGAGAACCAATTAGTCTTGGCTTATCAAAGAGCATAAAAGGCAAGCCATGACTTTCACTTGCAGAGGTTAAAAGACTAGAATGGTTCACAATAATCAAATTTACAAGCCTCATTTCTGATTAAGATGACTCTCTGACCAAAGAGATGACGGTGTGAGATTGTCCAACGCACACACTATTCATTTATGTCAAAACAGAGCTTGGCTTCATCCCATGGACCATTTATTTCAAACTTGTATTTTTGAATTCTGGTAAGCCAATAAGGACAGATGAAAGTGATAAAAACCAGCAATCCTAGAAGTACGCCGAAGAAAAATCCTTGCAGTCTATAAACTAGCACCAAAGTGAGAACCACCACTCCCAGTGAAAACCATAGATACAACCAGAATGAGTATCTCTTGATACAGTATGCAACAAAAGGAGCAAAAAGGAAAACCTGCAAGGAAAACAGCACAATAGCAAAAACAAGTTGCCTTGATTGGAGTTGGGAAGCAATCAAAACCGAAGCAATGATGGACATGTTCAAAGCGATATTGCTACTTAAAGTAGGATTTGTGAGAGAACCAGGATCCTTCACAGTGCACCCAGTGTAGTCATGCAAAAAGAGATGGAGGACAATAAGCATAGTCGTTAGAGCCCAAATGGAATCTGAACTAATGGATTTCGTCAAAGTGTGATAAATTGGAGACAAAGCATACAACCCAGTTATGAAATACAAAATGTTAAGAGCATATTGGGCGAAGAGTTTGAGGGAAATCATCCTGGCAGTTAAAATGAGAACTACGAAGCCTGAAACTAGCATAGTTATATCAAGAAGCAAAAGGGATTTTAAACTAACAGTTGAGGCAAGAGTGTAGGTCCAGACCAACACCACAAGGATGACAGTGCAAAGATACTGGGAAATGGACACTGAATCAAGGATCACCTTACACAAGTCCCTCTTCACAACATTAGCATTTGTGACCATATCCTCGAGGAATGAATCACCGGTATAATTGTCACCAAAACCCGGCTGCATACCTCCATAAGCTACCTTTCTCCATTTCCACGGAGCAGGGGACGAATCTGATTTCATAGTTCAATCCTAACATTAAAGTGTTGTGCAATACATTAGCAACCAAATTTTAGGGATATTTGATTCAATTATCTCATCATTTTAGTGATATTTGATATGATGATAACAAATACAAATAACTTACCTCAGAAGCTGCTTCAATGGGGGATACACGAACTAGCTTCAACGGAGAACGGCAACTGCGCTTCAATGGAGAACGTTGAATGCGCTTCAATTGAGCAATTCAATGGGTTGGACGCCTTGGATCCCTGTTAAAAGCCATGACCCATGACCCGCCACAGTTATTAATGGGTTAGATCCGTCTAATAAATAAATGGGTTGAGTCTTTATGCGATTGTCTAATTATGAGGCAGGACAAACCTTATAAGGGTTTAGCATAAACTTATTTTAAAAAGTACGGATTATTAGTTTATCATTACACTTCCATTTCTCAAATGCTATCTTCACACTCCAAACCTAGTATAATTTGTGTGTAAGGTTTTTTTTTTTTGTTTTTTTGTTTTTTTGTTTTTTGTTTTTTTGTTTTTTTTTTTAAATTTTGAAAATGGCTGAAATTACATTAATTAAACTGAGTTTACAACAAACGAAAGAAAAGTATGGTAACATAAGTCAATTACAAGTTATCATGTCTTAAATGTGGTTAGGATGAGTTTTCCTCAAAAAAAATGTGGTTAGGATGACTCTTTTGTCGTGGCCATTATGACAAATTAATTGTGTCATGTGAAGTGTGAACTATGGAATTGTATAGGTAGTGTTACCTTTGCGATTTTAACATCAGCTGACGGTCACCTACATTTTATTATAAATGTAGTTGCAGACTAGCAATTGTAGAATTGTATGAGTTAGTGAATTGGATGAGTTGGTAAGTGATCTGTGTAAAACAGAAAATTATCAGTGAATAACTTTGAAAGTAACAAATTTAATACCTTTATTTTTTTTGAAAAAAAAAAACCATGTAGATCAACTGAAGAAATTTCCAAAATGCGAGGAGGGATTACATCACTCCACCCATTGACCAAACTCCCATGGTTGAAAGTAAGTCAATTTGTATGCTACATTATTACCCCTCTCGCTTGACAAAAGACCATGAATCACTAATAAAATTAGAAGAAGAAAAAAAATCTTGAATATCCTTTATAATCAGATGAAAGGAACTAGAGCCATACAAACGCTTCCTCATTGCTTCAATCACCACCAGATTATCACTCTCGATCCCAATGCAGCTCATACCCTTCTGTCTCGTAATCTTCATGCCCAAAATACTGCTTTCACCCCTGCAATCTTAGTCTCTCATTTTTCACTCCACTACACCGTAGCTCCCCAAAGCACCACCCCCTCACTATTCCTACAGACTACAGACTGCACCCAGCCATGACCCATGACCTGCCACAGTTATTAATTGGTTAGATCCGTCTAATATATAAATGGACTGAGTCTTTATACGATTGTCTAATTATGAGGCAGGGCAAACCTTATAAGGGTTTAGAGTAAACTTGTTTTAAAAAGTACGGATTATTAGTTTATCTTTACACTTCCATTTCTCAAATGTTATCTTCACACACCAAACCTGGTATAATTTGTTTGTAAGTTTTATTTTTTATTTATTTATTTTTTTTAATTTTAAAAACGGCTGAAATTACATTAATTAAACTAAGTTTACAACAAACGAAAGGAAAATATGGTAACATAAGTCAATTACAAGTTATCATGTCTTAAATGTGGTTAGGATGAGTTTTCCTAAAAAAAATGTGGTTAGGATGACTCTTTTGTCGTGGCTATTATGACAAATTAATTGTGTCATATGTGAAGTGTGAACTATGCAATTGTATAGGTAGTGTTACCTTTGCGGTTTTAACATCAGCTGACGGTCACCTACATTTTATTATAAATGCAGTTGCAGACTAGCAAGTGTAGAATTGTATGAGTTAGATAATTGTATGAGTTGGTTAGTGATCTGTGTAAAACAGAAAATTATTAGTGAATAACTTTGAAAGTGACAACTTTAATACCTTTTTTTTTTTTAAAAAAAAAAAACCCCATCTAGATCAACCGAAGAAATTTCCAAAATGCGAGGAAGGATTACATCACTCCACCCATTGGCCAAACTCCCATGGTTGAAAGTAAGTCAATTTGTATGCTACATTATTACCCCTCCCACTTTACAAAATACCATGAATCACTAGTAAAATTAGAAGAAGAAAAAATCTGGAATATCCTTTATAATCAGATGAAAGGAACTGGAGCCATACAAACGCTTCCTCATTGCCTCAATCACCACCAAATTATCACTCTCGATCCCAATGCAGCTCATACCCTTGTGTCTCGCAATCTTCATGCTCCAAAATACTGCTTTCACCTCTGCAATCTTAGTCTCTCATTTTTCACTCCACTTAACTGTAGCTCCCCAAAGCATCACCCCCTCACTATTCCTGCAGAATGCACCCAGCCCCATCCCCACCTCTCCCAAAACACCAACATCAACAATAACTTAACCACAATCGAAGGAGACCCGCCCACAGAGACCCCCTTTCGACCCCTCCATTCCCCATGTTATTCAACTTTCGCAACTCATGCCCCTTCATATTAATCTTCAAAGCATAGGCAACAATTTGCTCAACATTCGGATTTTCACCCTCAATCATCCATTTGTTCCTTGCGCCCCACATAGCCCAACACATGTTAATTAAACTCACCATATCCTCCAAAATTACCAAAACATTGCTCCCACCAATCACCCATACTACAAAGATAGTGAGACAAAACCATAGAATAATTGCACTGACTCCAAATTGCTCGGGCTAAACTGCAATCTTTTAACGCATGCATGACAACAAATTCTTCTTCTCTCTGGCAAACACCACAAGCTAGTATCCAGGGCACAACCTAGCTACGAAAAAATTAGCTTTAAAATCTTACGTGGCCTAAAAAGCTAATTTGCTAATTAGCTTACTATTGGAGTTGCTCTAATACTCCATCTGTTCCTTTTATTAGATACATCATGATTTTACACCCTAGTGTCCTAACTAGTCCAGCGAACACCTACCCAAACCCTAACTCTAACTCTCGAACCCCACTTATTTGGCGAACTCCCACCCAAACCTCAGCCCTTACTCTCAAACCACACTTATGCGGCGAACTCCCACCTAGCCCCAACCTAGCCGATCGATCGAACCCACTCAACTCCCACCCACCCTAGTTGGCACGAACCTATGACCACCCAGCCCTCCACTCCAAACCCGACACCCCAATCTTTTTATAAAATTATTTATTATAATTAAAATTAAAAATAATTTTTTGTATTTAAAATTAATATTAAGCTATATTTTGTTTTTAATTAAGTCAAGTCTTATTTAATTGAGAGTTAATTATAGTAAAAACCAATTGATGACTTGTTTGACCGGTCACAAGTCAAATCTAGTACTTAAATTATTTATGGAATATAGTCATCAATGTTAGACTTATTTTTTTAATTTATTAAAGTTGACATAATATTGGAAGACCACCTAAATTTCGACTTATTGTGGTTATTTTTTTCATTATTTTATTATATTAGACTTTTTTTTTACTAATCATCTGTATATGCATTTCTATTTTACACAAATATTTTCCACACGAGAATGACAAAAAAGGCAAAAAAAAGAATGGTGCATTATCACACCAAGAATCAACACGAATTTTTTTAGTGTCATTAAGTATATAGTTATTGAAATATATACCGATGGATTATTGATTGGTTATTACACTACAAGAAATAAGCTTGATTCCGACAGAAAAAATCCGTAGGAAACACCGGAAAATCCGTCGGAAAACGGTCTTCCAACGGAATTCCGTCAGAATTAGTCTGTCGCAAAACCCTTTGTAGGGTATTCGACCTTTCCCGACGGAATTCCGTCGGAACACCGTTTTCCGATGGATTTATTTCTGTCGGGGTGTTCTTGACTTTAATCAAGAGTCCGTCGCAATTTTCCGACGGAAAATTCCGTCGGAATGTACCTTTTCCGACGAAATATTCCGTCGGAATCTGCTTTCTTCCGACGGAAATTTCCGTCGAAAATAATAATAATAAAAAAAAACAGCTCCACCCACCTCCAGCCCACCCCCTGCCCACAAAAAAAACCCACAAAAAACCCGGAACAGAAACTACCCACCACCATCGACACCACCGCAAACCAAAACCACCCCAACAAACCCCCACCCCAACACCACCGACACCACCATAACCCCACCCACACCGAACCCCCAAAATAGAAAACCACCATCACCACAATAAATTTATAGATCCGAACAAAAATAAACAAAAAAAATTGAAATCAAACAAAATAAATATATATACAATTATCTTCTGAAATTAATTAAATTACATTACAAGTAAATCAAAAATTAATTATATACAAAATTGTTAAATAAAAAAAAATAGATCTACAATGTTGTTTGCATCGTGGGTCGTCGTGATGGTTGCGTCGTGGGTGTTGTGGTGGTTGACGGTGTCGTTAATGACAAAGAGGACGAAGAAGGAAAAAGAACGAGAAGGAGAAGGAAGGAGAAGAGAGAGAAAGAGAGGGCGGAGGAGATGGAAGGAAGGAGGGGATGAGTTCAGAGAAGAAGAGAAGAGGAAAGAGGAGAGGAGAGAGAAAGAGAAGAGAGGCGGAGAGAGAGAAGAGGAGAGGAGAGGAGAGAGAAAAGAAAAATGACAGGGGAGGGGTTAGGGTTCCGGTTTTTTTGTATTTATATTCAGTTTTTTTTTAAATAGTTATAATTCCATCGGAAATGCATAAAATCCGTCGGGAAATTTACCTTTCTGATGGAATATTCCGTCGGAAATTTTCGACGAATTTTATTTCCGCCGAAAATTTAATGTTCCGACGGAATAATCCGTCGGAAACTTCCGACGGATATATTTTCCGTCGGACATTGAATGTTCCTACGGAATATTCAGTCGGAAAGCCCATATATTCCGACGGACTTACATTCCGTCGGAATCTTTCGACGGATTTCCTACGGAATAAAAATCCGTTGGAATTTATGACTTTTCCGACGGAAATTCTTGTCCGTCGGAAACAGTCCGTCGGAAATCGGCCTATTTCTAGTAGTGTTATTTATTAATGATTACTAGTTATTTATTTAAGTAAATATAAAAATATGATATTTAATTATTTTTTCTAATAGATAAATCACAAAAGAAGGTCAAAAGAGAAGTGTGAATGAAAATGTCCAAATTGTGCAATTAAAGAAGGGAGAAGTATTTAACAAATTATATAAAATTATTTACGAATTAACAAATTACATAACTATTTAACAATTATATAAATAAATAATATTTTTAAATATCATTTTACTCTGGGCCTCCAAAATGTCAAAAACAGCTATGCGAATCTTCATCCATTCTTGTACCTAGAATCAGACTACTATTTCAGAAACATATAAAACACCTCAAACTTCACAATTTGTCTTCAAACCCAAATTCAAAGTGAAATAAAAGGCGACAATCCAGCTACTTTAGACCAAATGAACGTGAAAGTGATCAAATTTGATCCTCATATCTACACCCATAATGTAAACCAAAACTCGAAAACCCGGGCAACATATCATAGCCCACAATTCACAAGAGACGAAATAGATTTGATCAATCACATTAACTAATTAAAGACTGCAAATCAAGAGTTTCCTGTAGATGAATCAGAACCAACATGAAATCAGAACTAACATTAAAGGGTGATAAAGCTTGCAACACATTAGCAACCAAATTGGAATCAATTATCAAATCAGGTTCCAAAAATCAAAATGCACATAAAATTGATTGTTAATTCACACATTCTGTAATATAACCGTTCAATAATCCACCTCAAAAGAACCCTAATTTGAAATTAAATCAGCGATAAACTTTAGATTGTAAAATTGACGATCAATGATTAAAAAAAAAAACTTACCTCAAATTCTGTTTCAATGGAGGAGTTAGCTCAGAAGCCGCTACAATGGAGGATACAGGGTACGCACGTCGCGCTTCATACTTTCATAGAGTAAAATTAAAAAAAAAATTAAAAAAATTAAAAGCAAATAAAAATTTTTTAAAAAAAATTCCATGTTTCTCATCATAAGTGAGTTGTTTAAAGTCGCAAATAAATGCATTTTTTTTTCCAGTTCTATGGTAAAAATAGTTGTTTAATGATTTTGTGTGTAACTTTACAAATTTAACATTGGGACGGCCTCGAAAAAAAATAAATACTATAATAGGATAAAGAGAGTTCATAGTATTGTTTATAATACATCTGGTTTTCAATTATTTTTTTTTAAATGCAACACTTTTTCAACATTGTTTTTTAATAGAACGGCTAATGCACGT